TAAGAGGAGGGCGTTGTGGGAAAGACCAGGCAGACGCGGTGGGCTTTCACTTTTGAGGACCTATTTGCATGCTGAGATAGAGAGGCAAAGCAGATCTGTCGTCTTCTCCGTCAGTCATCACGTGGCAGCTGATGTTGAGACCGGACGAACTTCTTCCGATTCTCCCATTCTCCGGTCGTGGTCATTCGTTGCTGCTTGCTTCCTCGTTTTAACCCCTTACACGGATTATTTTTACTTCGTGGTTAAACTCCAATCCCCTCGACATGCAGGCGACAGCGATGTTACGTCTTTCTTGTCTCGTTCCATCTGATCGAGTGGCTTGACGATAGGAATTTAGCCGCCAAACATGATTTGAATCGCGTTTGTTTACAACGGCCAGCGTCGACAACATTCGTTATCCCAGCCGGTCGTGGTGATTTTCTTTTCACTCGCTTGCAACGCTATCCCGGTTGGTGCTCGGCGGGGCCAGATTTACGCCGCGTTGCCGAACACTTTTCCTCTTCTCATTTTTGGCAAAATCGCGCCAATGTTGGCATCGCCATCGGTGGAGCAAGTGTCATGTGTTACGGCCATTTTGTCAAGAATCCCATTGCCTACTGTACAGTGCCTGTCTTACAAGCAGCGGGAGTCGTGTGTGTTGGTGTGTGTGAGGTCCTGGGGGAGGGGAAATCTCTTTGCCTGGAAAACAACGTGGGACAAAGTAGGGATGACCCTGCCGAGGCTGTGGTGCCTCAAATATTGGAAGAAGACGTCACCCCCTGTGAGTGGCTGGATGAGTTGCTATCTGTTGAGGAAGTACTGAAGGCGATTCGGAGTCTGAGACCAGGAAGGAAAGGCACTGGGCAGAGATGATCTCCCAAGCGAAATGCTGAGGGAGGGTGGCGTTTGTGCACAGACTGCCCTACATGACATTATAACAAAAGTCTGGACCACTGGACGGGTTCCGCAGGATTGGAAGGATGCCCTGGTGGTCCCCCTCTTTAAGAAGGAGGAAAGCACAGACTGTAACAACTACAGGGGCATCTCACTCCTCAGTGTGCCGGGAAAGGTCCTGGCAAGGATTATTCAACATCGTCCTTGCTAGGCATGCTGAGGAGAGGCTTGTGGAGCCCCAATGCGGTTTCAGGAAAGGGTGGTCCTGCACAGATGCCATATTTCTGTCCGTCTGCTACAGCAGAGGTGTAGGGATTCCAACAAGACCTACATCTCTGCTTTATTGACCTGGTCAAGGCCTATTTTACCATCAGTCGGCCTGGGTTGTGGGTTGTTCTTCGTGCTTTCGGAGTCCCTGACCCTCTGTTCACGATCATTAAGGACCTTCATGATGGTGAGCGGGCCCGGGTAAAACTACGTGGCTGGGAGTCGGAGCCATTCCCTGTACACCTTGGGGTGCGACAGAGATGTCCTCTGGCTCCCACATTATTTAACATCTATTTCGACGATGTAGTTCATGAAGCTTTCAATCGCTGTACCGGAGGAATTTCCATCTGGTACAGATACAATAGGAGGCTGATTCGATGCCCGGGTGCGGTCAAGGGATGGCTCCCCATTGCTCAACCATGCTGAACCTGGAGCTTGCCACTAAGAGGTGGGGCCTTACCATCAGCCCCACCAGAACTAAGCACCTGCCTGGGTATTTTGTACCATTGGACACTCCACCCCCACAACTCCCAATTGGTGATAGGGCAGTTGTGGAGAGAGTGGAGAGTTTCCTATACCTGGGCAGTGTGCTCATGACCAGCTCCGGTTTAACAGCAGACGTCTCACTCTGAATCAGTCGAACGGCATTATCTTTTCATCGGTTGCGTAATGCTGTGTGGAAGCTACCTGGTCTGTCTTTCCGCATGAAGCTTCAGGTCTTCTCTGCCACAGTCATTCCCTCCCGTCTCTATGCTTGCGAAACGTGGACCCCCCTAATGGAACATTTTCGCTGTTTAGAAACATTTACGCTGGCCTGCCTACGATCTATCCTGGGTTTAACCAGGCTAGATTGTGTGAGGAGCTCACAAATATTTGAAAGATCCAGGACAAAGTCCCATCGGTGAGCTCCTCCGGCAGGCAAGGCTGCGTTGGCTGGGTCATGTAGCCCGCAAAGCCCAGCCACCGCATGCCTAAACAGCTTTTGTTCGGCCGGATCGAGGGGGCTAAACGGGCGCGGCACGGGCTAGAGAAGAGATAGAGTGATGTGGTACAGGAGGATGTGGAGCTGAGTCGACTTGCTGATGCCTGGTACCAGCGGTGTCAAGATCGGCCTCTGTGGAGGAGGCTCGTGAAGGACACTACTGGGCAGTTCGAGGCAGTCGCCCTCCAACAACAAGGAGGATGGAGCGATGCTCACAACAACCAGCGGAGCGCCGGGTGGCTAAAGCACAGTAAGTTGGTACACTAGGGGGCACAGGTGGTGCATCGGCCAGTCATCTCAGTCATCTCAGTCAGTCGACCCGTGGCACCTGGGTCTATCCTGTGACCTGCCAGCGGGCGTTTGACACTTCACGTGGACTCAACGTGCACATAGCCTGGCAAAAGCGTCGTGGTGACGTCACCGCCACTTAGTGGCGAATGGCGGTTGTTGTTGTGTCTGCATGTGTGTTGGAGCGCCAGTGTAGCGGTTAGCGCACTGCCCTTCGAACCCAGCTACCCGACACCAGTAACGATTATCTAAATTGGTCCAGGGCCTCCCCTAGGTCGACTCAGCCTCAAATGAGTACCTGGTGCAGTGTGTAAACATTGACACTCGGGAGAAAAAGGTGGTCGGACGTGGTGCTGGCCACCCCAACCCCTCGTGTGCCATGCCGGCCTTCATAGATGCTCGCTAACAGCACTTACCCCAACAGTCTGTTAAAGCTATACGGGGGATCTTTGTTTGTGGTGAGCGGCGACGCATTTGATTCCTCACTCACGGCCCACTAATATCTGAATTTGTCCCGGACCTAGCTTAGGTCAACTCAGCTTTAAATAAGTACCTGGTGCAGTGTGTAAACTTCAGCACTGGGCAGACAAAGGCGGCCGGACGTGGTACCGGCCAGACCACCCCTTCGTTTACCATGCCAACCTTTCTAGGTGCTCACTAACAGCCCCAGTCCCCCCTACAGTCTGTATGGTTATGTGGTGGGATCTTGGTCTGTGAGTGTATGTTATTTATGGCCAGAGAAGAAGAGGGGGGGGGGGGCAGGCGAGATGGAAAATATAGCCCATGAGGGCCAACAGTAACCAGAGCCGCTGTATCGGCTTGCGGATTGGCGGACCTCAACGCATCCTCCGAAATAACAGTGACCCTGGTTTTCCTGAATGTGTTTAATTGGTGTTCTGTAAAACACTTAGGCGCTGTTAACGGCCCGGTCTGCGCCCCGTTGTTTCCTTTGCCTTGTTTCGGGTTTTACATTTTAATCCGAGAACGGTTCGTTCCTTCTGCGCAGGAAATTGGACTATGTCATCGTGCTCTGTTGCACACTTGACAGCGAAATTTGCCGAGTGGCCGCCGCATCCGAACGCTTATCGCTCGCTTGGGGTCTGTGTGCAGCAAAGCGAGTTTGCTGATAAGCGTTTGAGCTTCGTGAGCGAGTCCATAGTGAGTGAGCGAGTGAGTTGGTAATTGAGAGATTGAGATAGTGAGTGAGTCGGTGGGTGCATGTGAGTGAATGATCGAGTGAGGGAGTGATCATTGGATGACTGGGTCAGTACGTGAATGAGCGATTGAGTGGATGAAGAAGAGAGCGAGTGAGTAAATGGGTGAACAGTTGAGTGAGTGGATTGAGTAAGTGAATGAGTGAGTGGGTCCTCGAGGGAGCATTTGAGTTTCGTGATTCAGTGAACCAGGGAGTGAGTGGCTGAGTGAGTGGGTGGGTGAATGTTTGGGTGAGCAAGCGAGCAAGCAGTTAACTGGAATGTGTGGTTGACCGGGTGAGCACAAGAATGATAAAACAGATGGTGCATTCACACACGATAACGGCGAGGACATGCCATCCGCATCGCGGCACCTCGATGCTTGGTGCCACATTTCCAGGTGTTCCGGCGTCGGCACAGGCATCTCCACTCCCTCGTGAGGCCACGTGTGACGTTGAAGCGGTGTGAGAAATTCGTTGGTCTCTTTGATTTAAACAAAAAACCCACTTTGCTCAAGTCAATATTTACACACGACCAAGTATTTTCTGACTGCCCGTGCGTATCTGTCCCTGAGCGTGCATGTACTTGTTGCTGCGAGCGATGCGCCGCGTTTTTTATTATAAGGCTCTGCACCCACAGAGACACGAGTTGCAGTCGAACGGCCCAAGGTCAACTCGGCATAATTTGAGCACTTTGGGAAGATCGCAAACAAATAGAAGCTCCGGGCAGCAGATAAAAGCAGCCACACTTGCATGTCTATGGTGGGGTGTGGTGGCAACCCTACTGCCCGGTTGTTGTGCTACACTCTCCGTGAGTGTTCCGTTGGTCGTGACTCGATGTGGTGGTTGCTAAGTGTGCTCGTGCTACACGCTGGTCGGGTGCAAGGTCAACTGGAAACCGACAAAGGGGGCAAGGTGAAGTAGCTTAGGTTATGGGTTAGAGACAGAGATAGGGCTGGCTAGTGCGGTTAGGCTCGGCGCTAGGGTGTGGTTGTTAAATATAGAGCTAGGGCTTCTGTCCTGTCGGTATTTGTGGAAACGAATGCGTCTGCGTGTGCACGAGCTTGCACGTGTGTGCCTTGCGTCTGTGCGTTCATGTTGGCACTGTGGGGAAAACAGGCTGCATCTGCCAGTCATCTCGGTTAACCCATGACACTTGGGTCTTTCCTGTGACCTGCCAGCAGCGAGCCTTCCACACTACACATGGCCTCAAAAGTGCATCCAGCCTGGCACAAGCGCCATGGTGACGTCACCGCCACTTATTGGCAAATGGCGGCTGTTGTGTGCTCATATGCTTACGCGTACACGTCTGTGCGTGCGCACGTGTGCTTGTGTGCTTACACCTGTGTGCGTGTGCTTACACGCGTGCTTCTGCGTGTGCCGCACCACCACCACCAGCAGCAGCAGCCCGCGCCGCTGCCACCACTGCAGCCACCGCCGGCGCCACCACCATGCTGCGCCTGCGCTGCAAGAGCAAGAGCGGCACGCACGCCGTGGCGGGCCTGTCGGAGCGCTCGAGCCTCCGTGAGCTCCAGGCGCGACTCTCCGAGGCCACGGGCATCGCGCCTGCCGCCCAGCGCATCATGGCCGGCTTCCCACCCTGCGACCTCGACTTGGCCAGGGCAGACGCCTCGCTCAGCGAGCTGCACGTCAAGTCCGGTAGGCCAGGAGAGCGTGACCAGCGGGGGCGGCTGGCAGCAGGCGGCGCGAGACCGCCTTTGTCTCAGTTGTGGGGCCGAAAGGTTGCGAGTTCAGATCCTGGTTGGGGGTTGACTCGGCCCATCATCTATCTCTCTGCGGTGGATAAAATGGTTTTACATCAACAGGGTGTGCTATGGAATGACTTGCCACCACCATAGGAATGAGGAATTTCCACCGTTGGCTCTGCAGGGTCCTTAACAGGAGCTGAGCACCAATATCCCAGAGCTCATTTGAGCTGGCAGTCGCTCTGGCTTGGGACTTGACTGAGCTGGGACGATGGAGCTATGAACTCGATCGGTCGACTTGTTTTGCGATCGACCAGTTTGTCTGTGGTCGACGCGTACAAGCGACTGGTGTGGACGGCACCGCCACCATTCGCAGATTTGGAGGGCGGTGCTACCTGGGACAACTAGTTAAAGGGGGCTAACCTACTCCGCAGTGAGTCCGGGGCAAGCGGTGGCTTGTGTTGTGTGGAGGAGCTGTAGCCGATGGGACAGGACACGAGGCTGCTTATCCATGTGTTGCTATTTACATCTCCATGCCTCTTTGCACACTTTTTCTTTGCTTTCGTTCTATTTCCTTGATCACTGTCAATGTTTCCGATCCTCAGGTCATAGCAGGAAATGCACTGGACTGGTTAAAATAATCAAGGTTCACAAGGAAGTGCCTAAAAAAAATAAAGTGCTTAATCAGGGAACGTGTTACTTCTTATAGACAGTTGTACACTTGTGCATGAGAGTTATGTTTCAGTGGGAGAGGGCTGATTGACAGCGTAGTGTGTTGGGATCCGCACGGCCCATGTGTGTCCTTGCATTACGCAAGTAAACGTAGCGGCGCACAGCTTAGGAAGCCTGTGCTCTGGAAGGCACTCGTGCGCCCTCCTGTGTTTGGTTTGGGGAATTGGAGTGCAAAGGGATCTTATAAAATAAATAAAATCACAACGTTTCGGGCGCAACACAAGCGTCCGTCATCAGGTGGGACAACCACAGCAAGAAACAACTGCTGAAGTGCCCACTTCAGCAGTTGCGCCCGAAACGTCGTGATTTAATTTATTTTATACTTACGTGACTTTGCCGAAAGAACCAAAGAGTATGGATCCCTGCAGTCACGAAAACTTCAAATCTAGATGGCAGGTGATAATTCACCAGTTGTCACGAGAACCGTTTTACGCAATCAGCGTTGCTGCCGCCGATCTCGCCCATAATTGCCGCGCCGCTCGTTATTAGCGTCGCCGCCGGCGTGCTGCGTTGCCGCGCACCGTCGACGCTGTAAACGCGCCGCCGCTCTGCGCCGCAACCTCCATCCAGGGGACACGCTTATCGTGGAGGAGGACATGGCGAGACGCAAGACGGCCACCCGCCCCAACGGCCTCCCGAGCCCCCGCGTGACCGCCGCCCCCGCCGAGCGCCACCGCTCGCCGTCGCCCAGAGGCCCCGCGGGTCAGCCCGCGAGCCCGGCCGCTCGCCCCGTCGCCCGCCCGCCGCCTGCCCAGCAGCCGTCGCCACCGTCGCCACCGTCGCCACCGCCGGCCCTGCCGATGCGGCTCAGTCGGCACGTGGTTCCCGCCGACAACTCGTGCCTCTTCACGAGCGTGAGCTACGCGCTGGACGGGCCGGTGGCGGCGGCGCCGGCGGCGGCCGCGACCGCGGCCGGGCGCGCACGCGAGCTGCGCCGTCTGATCGCGAGCGTCGTGGCCGGTGAGCCCGACACGTACTCGGAGGCGCTGCTCGGGAAGCCCAACGCAGAGTACTGCCGCTGGATCGAGCAGGAGGACACCTGGGGAGGCGCCATCGAGCTCTCCATCCTCGCCAGGTGAGTAGCAGCATCACGCCGGCGCGGGGGGGGGGGATCGCTTGTTCCGTCGCATCTCTTGTCGTCTCGTTTGAGCTGCTTCGTTTGTGATGCTGGTGCTGCCCGTCTCGTTTGTTCGCCGTCATTCTGACCGTTAGCCGTAAAGGAAAAAATGGGCGTAAAAAGTGCATGAATGGAAGCTAATAGCTCTATGCATTCAGTGTGAGATGTGTGCATCATGAGTATACAGATCCGTTTTAATCAGGGACTGATTGGCTGACAGAACACACGTGACGGCGCCTATGAACTACTCGATGCACACGGTGCAAACACAACCATACATACAGAAATGAGGATCAGATGAGAGGCCATGCAAAATGATACCGTATACAAACAATCCATTCTCAAACCAAATTATGACCCCAAATCGCAACGACTTGTCACACTACCGAGTGAGTGAATCGCTCCAGATATGTTCCTGACAGTTGCCGCCACCTTGTGTCTCCCCTCCCGCCCGCCCACCCGCCCGCTCTCTCCGACGCCCCCCGCAGGTTCTACGAGTGCGAGATCTGCGTCGCCGACACGCAGACTCTACGCGTCGACCGCTTTGGCGAGGGCTCCGGCTACGCGCGCCGCGCGCTCCTCATCTACGACGGCATACACTACGACCCACTGGAGCTGTCTCCCGCCGACGGTGCTCCCCACCGCCCCCCACGGACGCTCTTCCCCACGACCGACGATGTGCCGCTCGCGCAGGCCCAGGAGCTGGCCGAGGAAGCGCAGCGGCGCCGGCAGTTCACCGACCTGACGCGCTTCGCCCTGCGCTGCCTCGCCTGCCAGAAGGGGTTGACGGGCCAACGCGAGGCTCAGCGCCACGCCGAGGAGACCGGGCACCTCAACTTCGGCGAGGTGTAGGGCCGTCCGCCGCGTAAACCAGCAGCCCCGCCAGCTAACCGGCTAAGCCCGCCAGTTGGCCAGGCAGCTCACCCGTGCCTGTGCATGCTCGCCTGCCTCCCCACCCCTGCGCTTATTGGAAAGGACGAGGGCGCTGCCACATTGCCATCGCGGCCCTGCATCCCCGGCTGGGGTTTGCTCCTGAGCAATGAAATGTGTGTGTTCTGGTGCTTTTGGAGATCTCACTACCCTGGAATTTAGGGTTTGCGGAGGCAGTTACGTCCGCGGCAGCGAGGAGCGCGACTGATGGCAGCGATGGCGACGTCGCTGAGGGAGAGGGAGGGTGGAGTTGCCGATTGTGACGGTGCAATCGGCAACTCCACGATCGCCGTGTTGCGCCCATGCCCTGCTGTTCCCTCGCCGTTTTCAGCGATCAATTCTTGACTTTGTCCCAATTTCAGCTTTGGTTTTTTAAAAGTTTCTGTTGAGGCGTGTGCTTGGTGTGAATCGGATGAAATTTGTCACGACGAGCTGTAAGAGTTGGACAAAGTCCATGGAGGGGAGCTAGCATTAAAAAAATCAGGTGCGCGTCACCGTGCGCGAGTGCTCGAAATCAGGTGCAGCTTGAATGTCGACGGGTAAATTATATTCAGGTACATTTCACCCAAAGTAAACATTTACAGCAGACGAGACATCGGTGACCCCACAGCACAGTTCCCGTTCATCCATCGCGGGTCTCCCTTCAGCAGCATCCAGACCGGATCCCGCGCCGGCGAAATGAGTGTGAGATCTGAAGCGGTCTGGAGGTCTCGCACACTCATCTAGTTTGTCACGTGACAGCACCGGCCTGGATGATGCAGCCCTGGCTTTTGAGGACCGCAGGAAGTGCTTCGGAAGACCGGGTCGACACAGCCAGCGCCTTGGCCACGTCGGCTCTCCGTGGCTGGTAGCGAACGCCCTCGGTTGGGGCGAACGTCAATTCAATCAAGCGGTCAATTGACTTCATTCAAAACCAGGTGATGGCCCGTTGAGACGAATGGGAGACCTGTGCTGCCGCGAATCCGTTTCTTCGGCACCGCTCGTGAAAGTCGCACGTGCAACCGTGGTCTGACCTGCAGCCCAAGAAACCCGTGCTGGAGCGAGGCTGGCGGCGGCGACAGCAACATCGGAGTCCAGTTCGGTGGCACCAGCTGCAGGATCTCAGATACCACTTGGCTGCCTCTCGCTTCGTTGCAAATTACACAACCCCCCGCCTTAATCACGTGTCAGACACCAACACCAAAGGTGTGTCAGTATTGCCTCTCTCGGTGCCCCCCCCCATCCCCACACTCGTTTGCTCGTCATTCGTGTTATTGTGCAGTTGTCGCAGTATTTCTCGTAGCGCGACCCATCGCGTCTGTCTGAAACGTGCGGCGTCGGGTTGGCGTGTCGACGAGGCTGTAAGCGCCAACGGGTTGGCCCGAGCAAGTGGGGAGCCTGCTGGTGTGCAGCGTAGCAGCACCAGCCAATTGGAGACGAGCCATAACCTTACACCAGAGGTCGCAACCAGGTACCCGATACCCATACCCTACCCGATACCCGGCTACCCGTACCCGGCCAGGTACGGGTAACCGTTTGCGACCCTGGTGCAGCCGGGTACGGGTACAGGGTGGGCCGTGAGTCACTGGTGAGTCACCGTTTGTCACTCATTTCCCAACGTCTTGTCTCTTCTCACAATTCAAGTTCCTAGAATCAACCCACCCGCGCCTGCAACATGGCTTCATCCCAGAGGTCGCAATCGGGTACCCTTACCCTACCCGATACCCGGCCGGTACGGGTAGCCGGGTATCGGGTAGGGTACGGGTACCCGATTGCGACCCTGGTGCGGCCGGGTACGGGTACGGGTAAGGAATCAAAACCCGTTTGCGACCTCTGCCTTACACCCTTTAGCAACACTTGCCAGCCAGACATGAAGTATAACCCCATGCAATTAGCCAATAGGATTCTTACTATAATCACTATATACTTGCATATAAGGACCTGAATATAATTGTATACCTTTCCCTAACCTTAACATTGGTACAATGATTGGGTGAGGTGCTAGGTTAGCTACTTAGGATTAGAGGTTTGGTTCGTTTTTGGTTGGCGAGTGTGGTGAGGTGTAGTGCTAGGATCTTGTTGTCGATCTTTCTAGGTTTAAGGATAGAATCGCGGGATGGCTGTTCTGGTTCGACTTCGGATTAGTGTCTGGTAGGGTAGTAAATTTATGGTGAGTGCTACAGTGCTCGGATCTATTTGTCTAGGTTGTTAGGATTAGGGCTAGATGGCGGGTGTGGTTAGGGGTCGCACTAGCATCAGGTTGGCTAGTTTACTAGACCCCTATCATTTTGCCCCCCCCCCATTGTCAATCGTGGCCTTGTCACTCTGTTCACTTTCACATCCTACGCACTGATCCGCGCGTTGTTGGCAAACGTTCCTTTTCATCCGAAATTTGGTGAACTTTTCCCCAACGTCTCCAATCGGCCAAACCTCGGGTCAAATCGCCCTGGCAGTGATACATTTCCGGTCGTGCCGTCAGACGCGAACCATGGACCATGGCGTTCACAGCGTCGTCGACAGCGGAATGAATTTTAAATAGATCCGCTCAGGATGTCGGGAATGTGTGCTCCCTCCCGCGCTGTCGTTGAACGCGCCGTGTCGCCGCTCGTTATACCTCACCCGGGGCTGGAGTCCGGGCTCACGCAGCGCTGTGCGTGTGTGTTTTTAGAATGTGCACCCACAAAAAAAAGAATGCACCTCCGCTGGCACGTGAACGCAAGTGACGTCATCAGCCGTGCCTGTCTTTTTTCGTGCGAGTTCTTTTCAGAGGGTCTCTTTCCTCCAGTTTTATTCGGCTTGTGCCATTGGCATCACATCATGAGACGACGCATCGATTCAGATACGTTGATTTGTTAGCAAAACTAAAACTGCGGAAAATTATAATAAAGTGATTTTTAACTTGGAGCAGCGTCATCATGTTAACCCAAGCAAATATTAGTCCTCTATATATTTTAGAAAGCAAGATGTACCGGTGCCACTTTTGCATGCTAGCCGGTCCCTCCATTCCCAGAGTGAGAGCTGTGTCCGTATTCTTGGTGTTAAATCAAAGTCGCTTACTGTGGGTGTTGGACTCCGCCAAGGGTGCGTCTCGTCTCCACTCCTGTTTGTGATTTTCATGGACAGGATATCAAGGCGCAGCCGAGGTATGGGGAGTGTTCAGTACGGGGGCATGGAGGTGGCGTCGCCGCTTTTTGCAGATGACGTCCTCTTTTCCTCATCGTTCTGTGATCTCCAGCGTGCACTTGAATGGTTTGATGCCGAGTGTGAAGCGGCTGGGGTGAGGACCAGCACTTCCAAATCTGAGGTCATGGTTCATTCCTGGGACACGGTGGATTGTGCTCTCCAAGTGAGGGGGGAAAAGCTGCCCTTAGTGGAGGAGTTTAGATCTCTTTTGTGAGTGATGGTAAGTGGGAGCGGGAGATCGGCCAGCGGAACGGTGTGGCATCTGCAGTGTTGCGGGCGCTGTACCGTTCCGTAGTATAGTGAAACGGGAGCCGAGTTCTCGAACAAAGCTCTCGGTTTATAGGTTGATCTACGTTCAAACAGTAACCTATGGTCATGAGCTTTGGGCAATAAAGGATGAGATCGCGTGGATACAAGTGGCCGAAATGAGGTTTCTCTGCAGGGTTTCCGGGCTCACTCTCCGTGATTGGGTGAGGAGCTCGGTAATCCAGAAGAGCCTCAAGGGTCGAGTTGCAGTTGCTCCGGATCGAGAAGAGCCAGTTGAGGTGGTTCGGGCACCTTGCAAGAAAGCCCCCCGGTAGACTCCCCCTGGAACTCTGCCGGGCACCTCCCACTGAGTGAACACCCCGGGACCAGCCCAGGACACGCTGGCGGGACTATGTTGCTCGGCTGGCCTGGGAACGCTCGGGAATTCCCAAGGAAGAGCTGGAGAGTCCGTCGCCAGGGAAAGGGAGGTCTGGACCGCCTTGCTCAACATGCTGCTGCCGTGACCGTCACCAGGACAAGAGGATTGAGAAACTAACGAAGAAAGTGAGATCGCAGTCAGAGTGAGCAGGAGGGGGACAAATCCCATGGAACCGGTGCAGTGTTGGTCCAAACAAAGAGCCAGTGGACAGGGCCTTCCCCAGGAATGGTTCGGCACGGCCTGGGTGTACTCTTTAATGGCCGTGGGAAAGTAGAACTTCGCACGCCTGCTTCGCCCGGAACAGAACCACGTGTTTTGCAACTTGTCGGCCACCAAGGGAGAGTTCCACTCTTTCTTAGTTTACAACAAGCATGGTTTACACACAGCTTGTGCGTCTGTTTCTTAGCTTTACAAACCTTTTTTTAAATTTCTGATTTGTTTAGCATATTTAAACTACACCCGTGTTGCTGTATTTGAATAAATAAAGATTGACTTTGCTTACGCTGATTCCTGGCCCTTGAGGCACCGTCCCTTGATTAGTTACCGTATTCTCCAGATTATAAGATGATCCGGAAACTTGTGCCTGGTGTCAAAGTTTTACAAATCTCGTCGCGCACTCGCACACCTTCTGGAAGATAACACGCCCCCCCCCCTCCTCCCAACTTTTAATTCAAAATGCAAAGGGAAGAAAGTGTGTCTTCTAATCTAGACCATGTGGTAATAGTCATAGTTTGTCAATAAGACCGACTTTAGTTTTTGGAGATTCGTGGGCGACACTGAAAGCTTTGTTTCGATTTAAAATGCGTTCATGGGACGGAGAAGATTCTCACCGAGGTCGTGGAACTATCGTGGATTTACTGACGGTACATGCATAATGAGTCGTGAATTAGTTTGCCATAGCTACCAGGGTCCCATGACAAAACCACGTGGAATGCGCCCCATCTCATCCAATGTAAATCATTTCAACTTGCAACGTGTTACCAACTCACTGTGTCTTCGCTTTTTGAGAACTCGGAGGTGAGGAACCACAGACAAACAATAAAGTTAGCAGCCATGAGGTGAGCAGGCACGATCAATAATTGCCAAAGCTCTACGATCCTCTATATATGAAGGTGTTACGACCAATTAAAGAGGTTTACATATGGGAGGAAACAAGCATCCGGAGAAACTCCATGCATCCGAGGGGACAACTCTTATCCCATACAGATGGAACAGGTAGGGCTCCACATTTGCCAGGGTATAAGTTACCTCCTTGACGCCGACGAGAAGAGAGTTTCACAACGTTTGTACGATCCAGCAACTCTCTCGCTGCCTCCACAGTGCTGTGGTACAGGTGGAGTGTGTATCCACCACCGCATGGCGAGAGCTCTGAAGCTAAGCAGGTTTGAGCCTGGGTGGCACCTTGGATGGGCAACAACCACACACAGACAGGTTGGCATGGTAGGGCTTGCCGCCCACGTCTATAGGGTTCCCTGCCTTCAACCCATACCGACAAGCGCTTGGATTTATGGCCGAATAACCCCCACGCACGTGGACGGCTCAGGGAGGCCTCCATCCTGCAGGGGATTGACAAAAAGGGCAGCGTGTTTGGTGCGGGCGGTGGCGTGCGACCTCACGGTAGCCCGCTCGTCACTGGTCACAGAGGCTCGTGGTTCGGATTCAGCGGCCGCCCTGGTCAATACTGCGTAAGTGCGTCTCAACCATAACACAAATACTAACACGCGCCGTCTACTTCACTCGCAGTGGAAGGTAAATGATCTCGTGACGTCATTCGCAAGAGTTGGCTATTTTTGTGGTGGCGTTATGGTCCAAATTGGACAAAAAAATTACATCGCGAATTAGTCGGTTGGTGTTATACACGGAAAACGTCGCACCTCCTATGTGGGTTTCCTCCGGGTTCTTTACTACCATAGACCAACACAAAACTTTACTGTAAGTGTAACCGATATTGGCCAAAACATTAGAAATGTGTAGATTACTCGAGTAACGTCGCGCCCTCCTTCGGAATCTTGGCAGGAATCTCTTAAAAAAGAGTTACGAGACTAAGTGAGGCTTTTCTTGGAAAAACAAATCTTGACTTAAAGCTTTCGTGACTGCAGGAATTCATATTCTTGGGTCTTTCGGGAAAGCCACGTAGATAGAGCAAATTAAAATTAGAATAACAATATCACGACGTTTCCATCGCAACACAAGCAATCGTCATCAGGTGACTATTGCTTGTGTTGCGATCGAAACGTCGTGATATTATTTTGTATTATTTGATCTATCGCTGTGGCTTTACTGAAGACCCAAGAATACGATGTGTTGAGTTTACGGGGCTTCGCGTGAGACGTGGCACCAGCGCCTGTAGAGGGCGCTGCGAACATGGACTCAACCACCGTCATCAACATTCAGCATCACCACCATCGTTGTTAGGGCTCAACGATTTGGGGGAAATATCTCATTGAGATTTTTCTGACAGATATTGCGATTTGATTTGCGATAAAAAATTAAGCCAAGCTGTAGTTAAATAGTCAATGTGTAATAATTTAAAACATGTGATGGCGCATTACCACATGATACCATCTAAATATGAACTGCTCTATATATTCGTATGCAAGGATGAGAACTTAAAATATATGAATTGCTTCCAACATGTATTTATTTAAATATTTCAATTGAAATAGAACAATCAAATAATAGAACAATCGCTAAGTTAAATAAATTAAGTTATAATAAAACAATATAACAATTCTAATAAGAAGGTAATAGGACTTTTCAAATCGCAAAAAATCGCAGCCTCTGCGATTTGCTAATCGCATTGTTTAAAATTTCGATTTCGATTTGAAATCGATCAATCGTTCAGCCCTAATCGTTATCATCATCGTGTCACCACCACCCTATCACTATCATCACTGTGTCATCATCACCTTGTGGCCATCATCATCACCGTGTCAACCTCACCACCGTATCATAATGATCGTGTCTTCATCATCACCGGACCATCATCACCGTGTCATCATCGACCTGTCGTTATCATCATCATCATCATCACTGTGTCACTATGTCCATCACTTTCAACATCCCCGCAATCTATCTGCGTAATCATCAGAAGGTGGAGTGGTGGCACAGTGGTTTTTGGCGCACTGAACCCGGCCACCTGAGTTCAATTCCCACCCGCCACAGCTAACATCAGTGGCGCAGTGATAGTATCTGAACCGCTCCTGACCTTCCGCTCAACTCTTCACCAGCTCCCACTGACCAACGTGGTGAAGTATGGTCAAACAACCCCCCCCCCCCGTGTGTACGAGTTTCGGGTGTGCACTGGGCCACCCCGAGGTCTACTCAGCGTCAAATGAGTACCCGGTGCGACGTATAAACATCGTCACTCGGGAGACAAAGCCGGTGCTGGCCAACTACCCTCTTGTGCCGGCCTTCACAGGTGCTGCTCGCCAACAGCCACTTGCCCCGACAGCCTGCCAAGGCTACACGGGGGACCTTTGTCTTCTAGCGGGGACTGTACCGGTGGCAGCTGTTTACAGGAGGAGACACGGCAGGACAACGCGTTACCTGGGAGAGAGGGTGAGGGGGGGCAGAGGGAGGGAGGGAGGGGGGTAGAGGGATGGGGGGCAGGAGGAGGGGGACAGGGGGAGAAAGGGGGGCAGGGAGAGGGAGGAGGGCAGAGGGAGGGGGCAGGGGGAGGGAGGGGGCCAGAGGGGGGGGGGGCAGGGGGAGGGAGGGGGGTAGGGGGAGGGAGGGGGGCAGGGGAAGGGATGGGGACAGAGGGGGGGGGCAGATGGAGGCAGGGTGAGGGGGAGGGAGGAGGGCATAGGGGGGGGGCAGGGGAAGGGAGGGGGCAGGGGGAGGGATGGAGGGGGGGCAGGGGGAGGGAGGGGGCAGGGGGAGGGAGGGGGGCAGGGAGAGGGAGGACAGGGGGAGGGAGAGGGGGGGGGCAGGGAGAGGGAGGACAGGGGAGGGAGAGGGGGGGGGGCAGGGGGAGGGGGGTATGGGTGTTGGTGAGGTGTAAAGCGGTTGTGGGTGAGCAAGGGGGTGGTGCGGTGCGGTGCGGTTGAGGTGCCGGTGTGTGGTGGCTGGGTAGAGGGTGCGCGTTGGGTGAGGATGAGAGGAAGATGGTGTGGGTGAGGTGTGGGTGAGGTGTGGGTGAGGAGAGGGTGTGGGTGAGGTGTGGGTGAGGTGTGGGTGAGGAGAGAGGAGAGATTGTCGGTGAGTTACGGGTGAGTAGAGGTTGTGGGTGAGTCGAGGGTGGAAGGGATGTGTGGGTGAGGATTAGAAGGGGTGACACAGTCTATGTTGGCCGTGTGTGCTTGAGGATTCTGGTGAGTTAGAAGCGTGTGGGAGGTGGGCGAGGAATAGGCGAGGTTTGGGTGAGGCGAGTGAGGAGCGTTTTGTGGTCGGGTGAGCAGCAGCAGTCGGTGTCGATGGAGCCATGCGGATCCCAGCATCAACAGCTAACAGCTTTACCCGCCCTCCCCACGCTCATCATCACCACCACCACCACCACCCATCATCAACCACCCTTCCCCCCCCACACACACCACGCCATGTGCGCTCCGCATCTCGACTCCGCAGTCTCCGAGGTTGCCCCTCGGGTGCCACTCACAGGGGTCTTCGTAGCGACTGGGGTACCTGTCACCCCCCCCCCCCACCCAGAGCTACCCCCTTGCTTGTTCAACACAGACACGCGCACAGAGACGAGCACAGGTGACCACGCAGCCATGCGCGTCGGGACGCACAGCAGATCTACACAACGCTTGGAGAGAGAGGCACACACACACGGAGAGCGACTCACGGACACACACACACACACTTAGACTCATTCATATACACAGGGACACACACACACTTAGACTCATTCATGTACACAGGGACATAAACGCACACACACAGACAAACTTTAATACGTATAATCTCTCACACGGACGCAAATACATAGGCAAAGACGAACACGCACACCCGCTACTACTCTCATCTTAGCCACACCCCACACGACTCTCATCCCTCCCATCCATAACTCTCTCTCTCTCATCCCTCCCTCCCTCCTCTAGCATACCCAACTCTCATCCCTCCCATCCATAACTCTCTCTCATCCCTCCCAACTCTCACTCCCGCCTCACATTCCTCGCATCCCTAGCTGCCTGCCATCCCATCAAACCCTCTCATCCCTCGCTCGCGTCCACCCCCACAACTCTCCCCCTCCCTCTCATCCCTCGCTCCCGTCCACCCCTCCTTCCACAACTCCACCCCTCCCTCTCATCCCTCGCTCGCGTCCACCCCCACAACTCCCCCCCTCCCTCTCATCCCTCGCTCGCGTCCACCCCCACAACTCCCCCCTCCCTCTCATCCCTCGCTCGCGTCCACCCCCACAACTCCCCCTCCCTTTCATCCCTCGCTCGCGTCCAACCCCTCCACCCACAACTCCACCTCTCACTCTCATCCCTCGCTCGCGTCCACCCCCTCCACCCACAACTCCTTCCCTCCCTCTCATCCCTCGCTCGCGTCCACCCCCTCCCCCCACAACTCCCCCTCCCTTTCATCCCTCGCTCGCGTCCACCCCTCCACCCACAACTCCACCTCTCACTCTCATCCCTCGCTCGCGTCCACCCCCTCCCCCCACAACTTCCCCCTCCCTCTCATCCCTCGCTCGCGTCCACCCCCTCCACCCACAACTCCCCATTCCCTCTCATCCCTCGCTCGCGTCCACCCCTCCCCCCACAACTCCACCTCTCACTCTCATCCCTCGCTCGCGTCCACCCCCTCCACCCACAACTCCCCCCTCCCTCTCATCCCTCGCTCGCGTCCACCCCCTCCACCCACAACTCCCCCCTCCCTCTCGTCCACCCCTCCCCCCACAACTCCACCCCTCCCTCTCATCCCTCGCTCGCGTCCACCCCCTCCACCCACAACATCCCCCCTCCCTCTCATCCCTCGCTCGCGTCCACCCCCTCCCCCCACAACTCCACTCCTCCCTCTCATCACTCGCTCCCTGCCGTCCCTTCTATCCATAACTCCCATCCCCTCGCTCCCTTCTATCCACCCCATCCCCTCTCCCATCCCTCCTCCCTCTCCATCCCTCCCGTCCACTCACTCCCCTCGTCCCATCCCCCTCACTCCCCGCCTCTCCTCCACTGATACCGGACACATGGAGAAGAGCGGCGGGGAGTGCCACCATCTCTCGGCGGGCGAGCGGTCGGACTCTGGAGAAGGAGGTGGAGGTGGTGGAGGAGGTGGAGGAGGAGGAAACAGCCCCGGGTCCTGGCAGAGTTGCTCCTCGAGCGGAGTAGCAGCCCTAGGCTTGGCGAGCCCCAGTTCGACCCCCCTGTGCGGTGGATACGGCACCGCGGCGCAGAGATACAATGCGACCATGCTCCAGGCGGGGTACGAGAGAGAGAGGTACGGGGAGAGGGAGGTGGACTTGTGTGTGTGTGTGCGTGTTGTCGAACTGTGCGGTCCGAGTGTTTACCTGTAGGGTAGACACACCGGCGGGATGAGAGAGTGTTTTTTTTTTTTTAAAGGGGGGAGCGTTTGATCAAAATGGATGTCTACCTCTTGGGGGTGAGTGGGTATGAGTTGCGAGCGGTGTGAGATGCATAGCTAGGTGTGAGATGAGAGCGAACCGGTGTGTTCCTACCTGTGTGGTCAAAGTTGGATGAGCGGGCGAGGTACGAGACGGGTAAGGGAAGAGGGAGGCGAACTTGTGTGTTGCCTACCTGTACGGAATGAGTGTAATGTCTAACTTTGTACGTGGCCGGGTAGGGCACGAGATGAATGGGAGCGAATCTGCGGTCATAATGACTTGCCTACCTTAGTCGGCGCTCCTGTGCAGATTGCTAAGATCGACGTCTGCCGAGGAAAAACTCAACCTCTGTTTGCCTACCTATGTCATTCATGTACCTACCTGTGAGTGTCTGCTCAGTCATTCCTGTTCACCGGTGTATTCTCAGCTGTACGTGTCTCTCTCTACACATTTATCACCTTCGTCGTGTTACCTGTATATCTCACCTGTATATACCCATCTGATATCTGTGAAAAAAAAATTCATAGCTCATCGGATTCTTACAATCTCAAAAGAAAGATTCTGATATGCCTACGTTTACACGTTTGTGAATACTGTACCTGCTAATGTGTGCCTGCCCACCTTTGTTTGTTCACCTGTTTGTGGTGTACCCGTGTCTCTGTCGACGTGTCTTCTCACCTGTGTCTCTGTCTACCTGTCTTCTCACCTGTATCTCTCTACCTATTTCTACCCACCTGTGTCCGTCTACCTGTGTCTGTTCATCAGCGTCTGTCGGCTCATCTGTTTATTGTTATTTTTATAACTAAACATATAATGCCTTTTAAAGCTTTCGTGACTGCAGGGATTCATCGTCTTGGTTCTTTCGGTAAAGTCACGTAGAAGGGAAATAATAAAAATAAAACATAATGAGACAGCGTCTTTCCGACAGACCTGTTCTTCACCTGAGGACGGCTGCTTGCGTTGTGGCCGAAACGTCGTGAGAATTGTATTTTATTGTGTTATTTTTATTATTTTATTATTTCCCTTGTACGTGACTTTACCGAAAGAACCAAGAAGATCTAATGCCATCTGTTGTTATTCCAAGCAAATTATCCATGGGCGGTTACATAAATTTAGGGCACCCTCATAGTCAAAAGATGCAAGGTTACCCTCAGAAGACACATACACGACATGTCATTTGAAAGGGTAATGAGAGGGTGCGGTGGGATAAGAAGCCTACGTGGGGTAAAATCCTTTCTTTGACCAGGGTAATGTCCTACGCCATACCCTGGCTCGCCAGGAGATTACGATGCAGCACAACTGAGGACTCGGCCTGTTCTTGTCTGTGTGGAATAGTCACAGGGGTGGCCGACCTGTAACGGACCAAGAGGCAAAAAGTACCCGTGAGTTCTGCAAAGAACCAACTATTTGTATGTAAGTGTGTGTGTGTATTGACAGTTGTCGGCACAGCACGGGAGACATTCATTAATTTTTGCTACTGTGATAGTGCATTCTACGTTATGCCCCTTCGATAGAGCCGCATGTGATGGGTTAAAGAGCCGCATGTTGCTCGGGAGACGCCAGTTGGCCGCCGCTGGGATCGAGCGTTTCGCCCTCACACGTGGTTTTTCTCCGGGTGCTCCAGTTCTCTCCCGCATGTAAACGCTCGTGAATTGGTCACTAACACCTTAATATATAGAGGACCGCAGAGCTTGGCCAATTGTTGGCTGCCTTTCCCCGCTCGTCTGTGGTTCCTCTCTGTTTGCGAGCGAGCGAACGCTGCGCGGCTGCGGCAGCACGTTACAAGTTGCAATTAAATAACAAACACGGCGTGTGGAGGTCTTCGTCGAGCAGTGGATCGACCATGGCAGCAGATAATCGTGTCTGTTACACTTGGGCTAATGGAACACACGGGATTGACGGGAGAGAACAAGGGAGACACACAGCGAGGATAAGGATTTGAGTTAAATACAGCGCTTAAATTCCGCAGCAGCATCGGGAACATCTTAACGCGCTTGTATGTACAGTATGTTGAACTTCTTTCGCGCCGTACCTAGCCAACCGCTGTAATCGGAGGTGCGGGCGGAGAACAACAAACTAAACACAAAACGCAGTTCTAAAGAAATGAGTGTTCAATTTAGATTGAAAAGTGCATTGCTCCGGTGGCTTCCAAATATCGGAAGAGCGTTCCAGACGGCCACAGAAGCGCATCTTAAAGCGCGCGATGCAGTGACCGACGCTACGAACGAGACCGAACACGCGGGACCGACACAGACGAAACGCAGCCCGGATGGCGTCTTCCATCGCAATCACAGCTCTTCTCTTTCTGCTGCTTGTCTCGCATTTACTCGACTTGGGAGTTCCCTCCCGTCCGCGTTGTCTATTTTTTGAGGTTCGTATAACACTGGTCAACACACTTTTTCTGGCATAAGGTATTACAACGGTTTTCAGGTAACTTTGGGGTGCTGATTTCAAATCTGGCATCAGTTTTTGTCTATCACATCAGCTTTTTGAGATATCAAATATTGCATTTTCAATAAAAACTGCAGAAGAAAAATATTAAATGAATGTGGATATCTACATAAAATTATATTATAAACACACTATCCTAAAAAATACAGCACCATATTTTAACACTAAAGCAGTCACTGACTCGCAACAACTTGGAATCATAAGTGACAGAGTTAATTTCGGGTAAAATCAATGAAAATGGGGTATGCCGATAGCATAAAAATTATGTGATAGAGCAAATCTGAGATCAGATTTGGAATCAGCACCCTGAAATTAGTAAAAAAAAACAGCTGCAAAAGTCCAGGCCAGAAAAAAATGTTTTTTTTTGTTGACCAGTGTAATTATTGAACCTCGCTCCATTCAACAAACGTGTTACAACGCCTTGCCTGTTACACGTCAAGTACAAGTAGTGCTGTTTGTTGCTGGGCGCATGGCGTGTTTTCGTGACTCATTCTTGGGCCTCCAACACCGTGATTCATAACTGGTATCCAGTGGGGTAGATCGTGTAGTGTCCAGTAGATTATGAACGTTTAAATACAGCCTGCCACGACCCGAATCCATCAAAGCAAGTTGTCACGTGGGCAAATCTGACAAGTGGAAATGGTTCCAAATATTTTTTTTTACAATTTTGTCCAACGCTTCGCTGGAGATTACATCCAGCTTAATCAGGTGTGAAGAAAGCCTCGTTGCTCACGTGTGCGGGAAGCCTTTGGCGAGTCTCAAGACGTCCTTTCAGGAGGGTCCTGTTCGGTTTTGTTTGCATTTGGTGGGTGGGTGATGTTCCTGCTGTGTTGGATTCAAACGCGGTGTTTTGCAGGTACTGCAATCATCGCTTCAGTCGGATCGAAGGGGCGTTCCACGTGTTTTAGATTCCTGAACCTTGCAAGCAGGGTAGATGAATCTACAGGATGGCCCAAAAGTCAGGACACAGGGTTATGTTATCTAATTTTTTTTTGCTGTGGTTGTCCCACCTGATGACGATTACTCTTAGGTTTTTTCGGTAAAGTCACGTAATTAAAAATAATTAATAATAATAATAAATAATACAATTTATAGAAATAAAACCTAAGAGTATGAATCCTTGCAGTCAGGAAAGCTTCAAATCTAGAACTGATGACGATTGCTTGTGTTGCGATCGAAACGTCGTGATCTATTATTTTTCTACCTGCGTGACTTTTACCGAAAGAACCAAAGAGTATATAAATCACGTAGGGTTTTCTTATTTTAACACACGTTCAAATTGGCTGCCATTAAAATTCATGTACGCATTGATTCTCTTTTGAAATGAATTTAGGACGTTTTTTAAAGAGTACAGCTGGCATCTTTATCCTACATAAAAACTAATTTAACTCGTTCGTCTTTAGTCAGTGTTGTTAAACATGTTAAATGTAATCTGAAAGGGGAAACATGAACATTGATAATAATAAAAACAGAACACACATTAACTTAAAGAATAAGCAATTACAACGTTTTAAAGCAAGTGTTAAAATAAAATAAATAACCCGGTTTGTCCTGACGTTTGGGCCACTCTGTATAGGAGACAATTATCGTCAGATCTCAGAAGCTACTGAGCGGGGTGGAGACTGGAGAGTGCTTGGATGTGTGACCGTCATGCACAGGAGTCGTTAACCACAAAATAACAAGGCCACTGTTTTAAGTTTGGTTTAAAAAAATCTCAATATATCAAGAGCCGCAATGCCATGCGATAAACATAAATAACGTGATGAATCAGTCCTTAAAGAGCCTGAGGCTACAGACACCTGATCATGCACAACAAACTGGTTTTCGGCTGAAGAGATGCAGATGTCAATGCTAATTTCCTGGGGTGATCGGGCTTTTTGCCAAGTTCAGCTCCAAATCTTTGGAACAACGCTTTGTCTTTTGCTGACAAGACAACCAGAGTCGTTCGATATATTTAAGTCCGTCCTGAAAACTCACCCCTTGAAACCGGCCTTCACTGCGTTCCATACACGGACGCGCACTGGGATCTGCGGATGAAACGTGCCGTTGCAAATGTAATTTTATTATTATTATTAATTCGTGCAATTAAAATCACATCGTTACATCAATAGCCATTGTCAAATGGGGGGGAGTGGGCGGGAGGTGGGGGGAGAGAGGTGGGGGGAGATGTGGGGGGGAGGTGGGGGAGATGGGGGAGGGGAGAGGTGGGGGAGGGTGGGGGGAGAGGTGGGGGAGAGGTGGGGGAGAGGTGGGGGAGAGGTGGGGGAGATGGGGGAGAGGTGGGGGAGATGGGGGAGAGGTGGGGGAGAGGTGGGGGATGGGGGAGAGGTGGGGGGGAGAGAGGTGGGGGGAGGTAGGGGGGGGAATGGGGGAGAGGTGGGGGGGAATGGGGGAGAGGTGGGGGAGGGGAATGGGGGAGAGGTGGGGGGGAATGGGGGAGAGGGGGGGGGGAATGGGGGAGAGGTGGGGGGGGAATGGGGGAGAGGTGGGGGGAATGGGGGAGAGGGGGAATGGGGGAGAGGTGGGGGGGGGAATGGGGGAGAGGTGGGGGGGGGGGGAATGGGGGAGAGGTGGGGGAATGGGGGAGAGGTGGGGGGAATGGGGGAGAGGTGGGGGAATGGGGGAGAGGTGGGGGGGGGGATGGGGGAGAGGTGGGGGGGGGGGAATGGGGGAGAGGTGGGGGGGGGGAATGGGGGAGAGGTGGGGGAATGGGGGAGAGGTGGGGGGGGGAATGGGGGAGAGGGGGGGGGGAATGGGGGAGAGGTGGGGGGGGGAATGGGGGAGAGGTGGGGGGAAGGGGAGAGGTGGGGGGAATGGGGGAGAGGTGGGGGAGGGGAATGGGGGAGAGGTGGGGGGGGAATGGGGGAGAGGTGGGGGGGGAATGGGGGAGAGGGGGGGGGAATGGGGGAGAGGTGGGGGGGAATGGGGGAGAGGTGGGGGGGGAATGGGGGAGAGGTGGGGGGGGAATGGGGGAGAGGTGGGGGGGGAATGGGGGAGAGGGGGAGATGTGGAGAGGGGGAGAGGTGGGGGGGTCCAGGTGTTCGCGTTTTTTAATTGTGACGTGACCGCCGTTGAATCGCGGGGGTGGCCAGGAGAGGGGGGGGGGCGCTGTTTGACTCCACGCGGTATCCGTACGGCCGCGTCACGGGACGACCCCCGACCCCGGGGCGGTGGAAGGAAAACAAACGTGGCCGCGTGAGCAGAACCGAACCCGAGGAGGGAGTTTGAGAGAATTTGAGATCCATTGGAGAGAATCGTGGAGCTGCTGGGGACATTCCCCGTTACGGCACGAAAACCCGACGGGGAAGACGAGTTGCGTTGCAGCGGGGAGCAAGAGAAACCCGCCACAGAAGAGACAGACGCAGCCCGAACGGGATCTCATCAGGACACGGCACGGGCGAACCGAGCGAGTTCCTCGTTGAACTGAAGAGAAAACAAACAGAGAGGAGCCTTCACCCGCAGTCGAACTGGACCGGTTCGCAGCCTCGACTCGCGCCGCCAGTGAGGGATCTGCACCTCTCCACATACACACACACAAAGACAAAGATCCCCCGTATAGCCTTAACAGACTGTAGGGGCAAGTGCTGTTAGCGAGCACCTATGAAGGCCGGAACGACACACGAGGGGGTGGGTGGCCAGCACCACGCCCGACCGCTTTTGTCTCCCTAGTGGCGATGTTTACACACCGCACCAGGTACTCATTTGAGGCTGAGTCGACCTAGGGGAGGCCCAGGACCGGTTCAGATAATCGTCACTGGTGTTGGCCGTGAGCGGGAATCGAACTCGTGTCGCAGGACGCTAACCGCTACACTATCGCTCCCCACATACACACACACGTGCACACACACACACACGTGTTCACCCTCTACACACGTGTTCACCCCACTACGCACCTGTTCGTATTCACTCCACACACACGTGTTCACCTTCACACACACGCGCGTGCAGTGGGAGGAGCATCTGTAACACCCTCCCCCCTTACCTGTCCAACAACGTACCTGTACACACAGGGACATGTGTGCCCGCGGGGGCGTAACCCTCCCGTGCGTAAGGAAAACAGTCTCCACTCCCTTACCTGTACACACGTGCAGTGTTGATCAACTCTGCACTTGTACACACGTGCAGTGTTGATCAACACTGCACCTGTACACACGTGCAGTGTTGATCAACTCTGCACCTGTACACACGTGCAGTGTTGATCAACTCTGCACCTGTACACACGTGCAGTGTTGATCAACACTGCACCTGTACACACGTGCAGTGTTGATCAACTCTGCACCTGTACACACGTGCAGTGTTGATCAACTCTGCACCTGTACACACGTGCAGTGTTGATCAACTCTGCACCTGTACACACGTGCAGTGTTGATCAACACTGCACCTGTACACACGTGCAGTGTTGATCAACTCTGCACCTGTACACACGTGCAGTGTTGATCAACTCTGCACCTGTACACACGTGCAGTGTTGATCAACTGCACCTGTACACACGTGCAGCGCTGCTCTCCACACACACCTGTGGCACCTATCGGCACGTCCTGCTCGTGTGGATGTGTGTGCACATACTCCGGTGTGCTACGAACCCGGCGACCCGACTTCGATTCGCGACCAACGCCGGTGACGAATTATCTGAACCGGTTTCTGGGCCTCACCTAGGTCGACTCGGCCTCAAATGAGTTACCTGGTGCGGTGTGTAGTAAACATCGCCACTGGGGAGACAAAGGCGGCCGGGCGTGGCGCTGGCCACAAACTCGTCGTGGTATCGGCCTAAATAGATGCTCGCTAACAGCACTTGCCCCAGCAGTATGCTAAACGATATTACAGGGGTAATTTAGCTTGTACATATGAGCACCTGTGTACACGTGCTATAGACCTTGACACGCACACACCCTGTGTACATTGGACTTGTTCACGCACGGTACGTGGGTTATGTGACACGTACACACGTACACACGTGCGCTTGTACCTGTCCACAGCCCTGCACGCCAAATGCTCGCTTGCAAGAAATCCGTGTCTTTATTGTTTTTTTTATTGTGGACCTACGGACCGCAAACCAATGCCAAGGTGCGATTCCACTGAGGCACTGTGCCTCTTGCCTGAGAGACCTGAGCGTGCCTGTGCCTGTGTCTGAGTACGTAGGGAGCGGTACTGTCGCAGTTCGTGCGCTGCGCCACCAACCCGCTTGTCCGAGTTCGATTTCTGCTCACGGCCAACACCAGCGACGATTATCTAAACCGGTTCCTGGGCCTCTCCTAGGTTGACTCAGCCTCCGATGAGTACCACCGGGGAGACGAAGGCGGCCGGGCGTGGTGCTGGCCACTCCCTCGTGCGCCGTGCTGCCCTCCATAGGTGCTCGCTAACAGCACTTTGTTAAAGGCTATACGGGAGATCTTTGTCTCTGTGAGTTTGTATCTGCAGCGGTAGTGCAGTGGCCAGCACGCTGCGCTATGGACCCGGCATCTCAAGTTCAGTTCCTGTCCATGGCTCACATGTGTGGCGTGTCATAATCTCAGCCCCGGTGCAGAACCCAGCGACCTGAGTTCGGTTCGCCACGGTGGCGAGATGTTAACTACCTCACCTGGTATGCAGGAGGTAGTAGGTTCGATCCCGACTCTGACACCTGTATTTTTGGAGTTTGCATGTTCTCCCTGTGGTCGCCATGGCGTTTTCTCCGGGTCCTCCGGTTTTTTTCCCTACACATTTAGAATCAACACGCATTTCGAATACTTGGCTACTATACATTTACACGTGATAAGCCACTCCATTGAGCTATCATTTGTGGCCAGGTCGCTTCGGAAAATAAGCTATACAGCTCATTGGGCCTTACCTGGTAAAATAAACGACAGTTTAGTTTTATAGTTTAGATTCCCAGCCGCGGCTAACATCAGCGGCGAGTGATATCTGAACCCGTCTAACTGCGCCTTAAATGAGTAATTGTACCTGAAGCACGCTGTGTACCTGGTACGCTGTGTACCTGGTACGCTGTGTACCTGGTGCGCTGTGTACCTGGTACGCTGTGTACCTGGTGCGCTGTGTACCTGGTGCGCTGTGTACCTGGTGCGCTGTGTACCTGGTGCGCTGTGTACCTGGTGCGCTGTGTACCTGGTGCGCTGTGTACCTGGTGCGCTGTGTACCTGGTGCGCTGTGTACCTGGTACGCTGTGTACAACATGGGCAGTGGGGGCACGAGGAGTGGCAGGCAGTGGCGGTGGCCCAGAGCATAATGCATACAGACGGGAGGGGGGGCGTGCTTCCTGCTTCCCTACCAGTCTCTGGTTTTTATCGTCCCTGGCTCGTAAAACACACGCGTGTATGTCCAAAAATGCAACACATCCGTCGCTAACACTGGCCCTTCTTCATAGCACATGCGGAGGACAGAGAAACCAAGTGGATAATGAGAGTTCGACACTGCGCTTGGTTACACCATGGGGCCTAATTATTATTTGTGGGGTTTTCTTGGTGTATGAATAGTTACCTATTAGGGGCTATTGAGTAACAGGATAACCCTTCAATAATCAGAACGTATCATTATTAAATATACTGATTTGTATTGCAAGTAAAATTTAAACAATATTGCTGGCACATTGCATTGTGGGTGGACTCCATGGTAGTGAGGTCAGCGAGAGGATCATTGTCAGAATACGCTTAGTGATGCATTCCTGGGTCCAACTGTCATTTTTGTAGCGCCATAGGGGAAGTCTCAAGAGGGGACATGCAAATATTTTAGATTCTCGAACCTTTTAAGACAATAATCGATGTGACAAAACAGGAAATCACTAAAAACAACGTTATCTCATTATTATATGGCAATTCTTAGTCCGTGTCTGGTGTATTTTTGTTTTATTGGGCTGTGTAGCTGGTCGCATCGCATGCCACCCCCCACGCCTAAACAGGCGCTCGCTAACGGCAATTGTCTTCACCATTGGTCGGTTAAAGGCTACGTGTGGGGGGGGTGTCTTTGTGTTCTCCCAGCATGGCGGATTACCTCATCAGCGGTGGGGCCGGGTACGTCCCAGAGGACGGACTCACGGCCACGCAGCTCTTCGCTGGCACCGACGGACTCACCTACAAGTAACTCAACGCACGACACTAAGTGGCAGTGATGTCGCCACTTCGCTTGTGCCAGGCTAGGTGCACTTGGAGGCTATCACGTGAAGTGGCAAAAGCTTACTGGTGGCAGGAGGTCATCGGACAGAGCAAGGTGCCATGAGTTGACTAAATGATATGACTGGCAGATGCACCACCTGTGTTCCCCACTGCCAGCTTGCTGCGATATAGCCACCCGGCACTCCGATCATTGTTGTGAGCGTCACTCCTACACCCTCCATCGTTGTAGTAGTAGGTTTTTACCCTTTTAAACTGGTACAAAACTGACACCTTTATTCAAGGCATCATTTTTGTAATGTCCACAACACAAGTAGTCAAAAAAGCAAACAAAAAGAAGCAACTCTGATAATGATAATAATATGCACTGTCCTTGAAGTTGATTGGTCCACACCCGAGACGGCATTCTTTAGAGCCTAGTCCCCATTGGTGTTGGACCAGATGACACCAGAAGGCGTACAACTCAAACACAGTGCAATATCAGAGTATTGAGAACTCGGGGTAAGTATTTACACTATGAGATCTCTTTTACCAGTGGCAAAATATAGTAGTAGGTTTTTACCCTTTTAAACTGGTACAAAACTGACACCTTTATTCAAGGCATCATCTTTGCAATGCCCAGTAGCGTCCTGCACTACTAACCTCCCCCCAAAAAAGACTGATCTTGACACCGCTGGTACCAGTCATCAGCAAGTCCAATCAGCTCCACATCCTCCTGTACCGCGCATCACTCCATCTCTTCTCTAGCCCGTGACACGCCCGTTTAGGCCCCTCTTTCTGGCCAAACTGAAGCTGTTTGGGCATGCGGTGGCTGGCCATGCGAGCTACATGCCCCAGCCAACGCAGGCTTGCCCGCCAGAGGAGCTCGCTGATGGGACTTTGTTCAGATATTTCAAGGATCTGTGAGCTCTTCACACAACCTAGTCTGGTTTAACCAAGGATGGATCGTGTTAAGGCCAGCCTGAATGTCTCGAAGCACGGGTTTTTTTTATTGTTTCCCTTCTACGTGACTTTACCGAAAGAACCAAGAATATGAATCCCTGCAGTCATGAAAGCTTTAAATCAAAAGATAGTGAAGATGTAGAATGCATCGTCGGTTTTACTTTGGAGTAATGGGTCACTGAGTGATGCGGCCCCATCATCGCCATCATCATCGCCATCATCATCATCATCATCGCCGCCATCATCACCATCATCATCATCGCCATCATCATCGCCATCATCATCATCATCATCGCCGCCATCATCACCATCATCATCATCGCCATCATCATCGCCATCATCATCATCATCATCGCCATCATCATCGCCATCATCATCGTCGTCTCCATCATCAACATCATCGCCATCATCATGGTCGTCACCACGAACCTCATACGGGATAAACGCGTGACTGTGGTGGCAGAGCACGAGTAGAAGGAGACTGAGTCCACCAGTGGGGAGCAGAGCCAACAGTACAATCAGCATGAAAAGGCATACATCTGCAAGGAATACGCAACTTTCTATAAATCAAAAGCATGGTTAATACACTACCCGGATAATCCTTTCATGGATAATAATCGAGAGTTATCTATACTTAGCGCTGAGGGATTAAAATTTTTTTTTATCTCCCAGGTGTCCAAGGGTCCTGTTGATGCTTTTGAAATGTAGGGGGGGCAGACTGCCTGGGCTGCAAGTGGATGCTTGGCCACCACTGGTTTCACCTCCATGCGTCTCACCGAGAGGGCATCATCAGGAAAATATTCACACCACTCTATAATTTACAGATCCACACCCCTCTAGATATAAATCCACGCTGGTCTCGATTCTACAGATCTACACCGCTCTGGGTTATAGAATCATGCTACTCTCGATCAGGGATTTGCCGTGTGGATGCTTGCCACGATAGACCCCACAGCCTCACACCGCCGTGCATCCTCTAAATCCTCCGCACCGTAGATTACGCCGATTCTCGCCACTGTATATTCGACAAATTAACTCCACTGTAGATTCCCGCTTGAGGTGCACCGACCTTTGAACCAAACAACCAATTAGTGCCGCTCCCATGGGTCGGCCCCCACTTCCCGGGGCTGCCAGTCGTCGGGGCAGGAGTGGACTTTGCTCTCCGTGTCCCCGAGTGTCCCCCTTTCCTCTCCAGGGACCGTCAGCGGCCCTTATTACCGTAATTTACAGGCTGCGCCGCGGCTCTGCTGGTCCTCTAAGCGACCGGTGAAGTCGCCGAGTGATTTGGCTTTTCGTGGAAGCCAAACGGATAACGTGGAGAAAACCCACGGCTGCAAAGAAACACGGAGAGGTTCATGCCTCTGAGAAGCCGGGCACGCACTCTCCACTTGCCGTGCCGGGAAGACCGAATCGAAGCGGCGACCTCTGGATTGCAAGTGCAGTGCGCCGACCGTGACACCGCTGTGGCAGCAACCCCACGCTTGTGCGCAGTGCACTCGCATCCAGCTCTCGCTGTATCTCCCCCGCGCGACGCATTTCCGCTGTAATCGTGACGACAAGCGACCAACTCATCTTGGCGTCGGCACACGAGATGGATTTTCGCGAGCCAGCGTGATAATGGCGCTGTCGTTTCTCTTCTCCGGACCTTCACGGAGAGGGAGATGTTACAAACTCCACGGATTGCGACGGCGGGCTTTGAGGGTCTTCGTTCGTAATTGACTGGTGACGGCATAACCATCGCCCCTTGGCAACGCGGCAGCGAAAGGGCGAACAGCTGTGTCGGAGGGCGGTGATGGTGGTGGGGTAGCAGGGCCTAGTGCGGGAGAGAGAGGGAGGCACCGGATTATCCGGATTTACTCCGTAAAAAGCAGATAAATTTATCGCGAGCAGCGTAAGCAGATCGGCGTGAATGTCCTGCGGCCACTCTTGAGCACCGCAGGCCAACGCCGAGGTTCACCGGCGAGTTTGGTGTCGACTCAACGTTCGGCCTCGCGGTCGACAAGGCTTGCACCGATTAGCCAATCTTAGGAACGATACTTGTTTTCTTTTTTGCGATAAAAGAATAAAATCGATTTCGAAGGATTGATGACCCATGATGATACGTGAACGTTTTCATCGAGGATAGCGTCGAGAGCCGATGATCCGCGTCGGAGTGGGATTGTAAAAAAAATTTAACTCGACAAACGAGAAATAATACAGGCGTTGACGAGACCAAAAAGAATCAATGCCTGAATCGAATCAGTGATCACTGATCACATCTATGTAAGTCTCTGGGTCTCTACGTGAGTCTATGGGGTCTCTTTGCAAGTTTATGAGTCTCATCAGTGGTGTCGCGTGGTCAGCATGGGCGCTGTCCAATTTCCTCCCTCTTGGTACCCCTACGCCTGGCCCCCTCGGGTGACCCACGGGCGGTTGCACTGCCTGCGTGCGTGCGAGCGAGCCGACGCTTTGTGACGCGAGCAATGGTGGATCATGCAATTGTGAAACTCTCAAAACCTTGCGAGCCTGCGGGTTGTCCAGGATGCCGCAGTGCAGCAAAAGGGTTTGTGAACACCCAACTTTTGAGTGTTGTCCCTTGGTAAGCGTGCTGGTGGGTTTTCTCGAGGTACCCGTCAGAACAAATGGGACGCGTGGCGCGGATAAGGATTTGCATTCGGCGCTTAAATGCAGCAGAATCTTAAAGCGCTTACGGACATTACAAACGAGGCCAGGTACACACGGTCACTTGTTCATATCAGCACCTGGTTTTACAATAGATCACCTCTACGAGAGTTACCGTGACCCCCGCTGCAGGCGGACAGACCTAATGCATTAACGCTTTCAAACGTACACCTGTTCACCTGATCGCTTAATCTTCCTGTCACTTGGTCACCTTGGTGACCTTGTTATGGGATCACCTGATCAATGAATCTCAAGGTCACTTGGTCATCGGATCACCTTATCAATGAAAATCCTCATCACCTGGTTACCCATTAGTCTGGCCACGCACCCTCCTGTGTAATACATTAGCCAGCAATGCTGTGAATGCACACACACACACGTGGGAACACTGGAGCTTTATGTGGCCATTATCAGAATAAAACTTTTCCGCGTGCTTCCATAATTAATTTTCCCGAGCAACCCATGTGTGTTTGTCCATGCCGCCCTTGGGGGTGGAAGATGCCGATGCGGTGCGCGTGTCACACCTAACCGCCTCCCTCCCCTCTCCGCCTCTCTCTCCCGATTTCAGTGACTTCCTCATCCTGCCCGGATTCATCGACTTCACCGTGGAGGAGGTGGTGAGTGGTGCCCGCCCTCACCGCCGGCTTCACACGTCACACGCCACGGATGTCACCTGCGGACGGGAATCGAACTTGCGTCGCCGGGTTGGGTAGCGCAGTCCACTCACCACTGCGACACCGCTCCCCAAAACATTGTTGTCCTTCCGCCGTGCCTCCGATGAGCACGGTTGGTTACGTACGGTACGAAAGACGTTCAACACACATACATTGTTCACGTATGACGGAGACAAAGATCCCCCGGTATCACCACATTTCGTAGTGCAGCGTGCCAGCCACTGCACTACCATTGTGCACGCACACACACGCGCGGCACATTGTCCCTTAATTTTAAATCACCCTGAGCGCACCCGATTCCGTTGGGATCACGGAAGCTCAGCAGGGCCGAGCCTGGAGTGCGCTTGGACAGGCGACCACCGCGCAAAGTTGGAGCCACGAGTGAGATGGACGTTAGCAGTGTTGGACCGTGACGGATCGCGACGGCGGAAGCATGCATCCAGTAGACCATGGCTGATTATGAAGATGATATGACATTGTATCTCTACCTGTCACTGCAGGGTGGCGGTCGGGGGTAATGCTTCTATTACGAGGGCAGCAATGCTGTGGGCAGGCGGCTGGGAGCCTCTGAGTTGCCGCCGGGGAAGCTTAAAACCAAAATAAGTCGGTGACGTTGCTCTTGTGGTTTCATCCTGGATTGTGCCGGGTGGGTGTTGAGGGTTTAGGTGGTGAAGATGGAAGAGATGTGGGTGGGGGGGGGGCGAGAGAGAGGGGAGGGGAGTCGGTGGGGGGGGGCTCTCACCCGTAACCTCGTTAGCGGGGGGGTGCAGTCGTTAATCCCGGCCACTCACTCTCCGTAGCATCGGCCTCTCAAACGGAACTTGGGACGGACATCGGCGGTTGTTAACACCGCGGTTGAGCACGGGTGACCCCGCAGAGGAGAGGGAGGGGGGTGGGGGCGGCGTGCGTTTTCGAGGATCGGGGGTGGGAATCCATTAGGATTAGGGAGGCGAGATCAGGGTCGGGTTAGGCTTGGCGTGCGAGTGATCCGCACGGAATCGGCCGTGCATTCATTCGCTGTTAAGCGTTTAAATCCCTGGCTGGTGAGACGCCGTTGCCTGCCCGCTATTCTCACGACCGCCGATCGTGAGAGGCGCGCTGGGCCCGTGTTCCGAGTGCGGCGGTTCTTCTACTTCTGGATGTTGCTGTAGAGCAGCGGCTGTGATGCTACATATCGAGGTGGTTGATGAGCAGCAGGGTGATTGTGTCAGGAGTAGTGGGGTGGTGGACACACATCCCATGGTCTCTTTTCTGGGGTGTCCGCATCTGCCGCGGAGTGTGGCAGCGCACGCCTACGATGTTGTAAGGGTTGACGGATTGCTGAATGACTTGCTGGCATCCACAACACCCACTGGGCTGCGAGGTTGTCACGAGTAGGCACTGCAGAAAGCCGATTCCTGAACCTGTGTATGCAGATCTCTGAGTGTTTTGTCCTTGTATGTGCAGGTTTTCTCCGTCTACTCCAGTTTTGTCCCACGTGAAGCAAAAACACTCCGGGCCAGACATCCCAACGCAATGCTTGCCAGGTGTTGTAGGCGTGGCGCTTCGAATTCGAAGGCTGTGCAGGCGATGGCAGTGCCGAGTGCAACCCCCCCCCCCCCCCCCCCGCTCTCTCGTACGCAGCAACGCGGGTGCTGGGTTTTCTCCATAGTTCTCCGGTTTTCATACGAAGCCAAACGCTCATTCGTCATATTCGTGGCCAACGGTTCCCGGCGCAGCAGGATCCCGAGACTCGGTGAGGCCCTCCTTGGAGAGTCCTAGGCACTGTAGTGGTTTAATTTCTACGCGGGCACGAGGGGGGGGGGGGGCAAGCAGTTGAGCAGTCCGGGAGTGTGAGCAGCGTCGGCCCCAGTTGCGACGGTGGGGACGCGCAGCCCAGCGACGGACGCAGCCGTCCTCTTTAATTATTTAATTGCCGCTTGTTCTCTTTAATTGGGATCTCTCTGAAAGTGCACACGGCGGAGGAAGGAGGTGAAGGGAGGTGTGCGGGGAGGGGGAGGCAGGGGGATCGCACGGCGAGAGAAGGCACCGCCGCCGTAGCGCGCCTGTCCGGACATGCGGCGCTTTGGAAAAATCGGAAGAAAAAAAATCCCGGGATCGCACCCCCCACCCCACCCACCCCTCCCCCCCCAACTCCGACACACACGGCCACCTTCGCGACGACCGTGTGACATGCACGTTCCAACGACGAGCGCGTCGACTAAAGCGGTGGTGCTCACAGACGGCGATCTCCGGCTGCTCGGGGATTCGAGTCGCCGGCTCGTCGCACGCGGCGTTCCAGCTCCGGAAGTAATCGCCCCTCCCCCGGTGGCGGAGCCGCGGTGGTGAAGCCGTGGATAATTGGCGTTAATTGGCGCCGGGGCTGCTGTGGGTAACGCGGAGGTGGGGCGGCGGTGGGGCGGCGGTGGGGGGGGGGGCAGGCAACTGGTGCGCCCTGTTGGGACGCGCACCCGGTCCCCGCGTCTCGGGCACGCTGGCAAAGACGCGCGATAAAAATAGACCCCCCCCCCCCCCCCCGAGTTGATGGCGTCCCTTACGCAGTGCGTCCACCCTGCGGTTCACTCGTCGTCATCTTCATCTTCAGTCGTGATCTGTCCGCTGCTGGTTAAATACCTCCCTACCCCCTCAACATCGGCGCCATCGCTCCCTCCGGCACACGAACCGATCTCACTTATTCATTGACCCTCGAGCGCGATGTCCTTTCGTTACGATTACGTCACGAAAGGATTGTCTTATTCGCTAAACTCTGGGCCCTGCCGTCGAAATGTAGACTCTTTACCACTGACTCTGGACATGCAAACCGAGCAAACATTGTTCGCACGCTCTGCAGACCTGCGGTGCGTTATTAAACAGCAGGCTTTGTGGACATGTATTTGCGTGCATGGGACATCTTCCCCTCTCCTGCAGGACCCGCCACCATTGCGTAACTCTCCGTGGGGGCTTAATTCCTCGCTGGATATTTGTGCATATCCGCTTGCAGACCAGAGTAAGTGGCTCGCTACCAGTAAGGCATGTCCGGAGTGAGAGCTATACTGGATGTGGTGTGCTGGGTTCGCATGATTTTTGGGTTGCCGACCCAGACAGACCCGGCTGAAATGAAGCCCCGATCACATCCACGTTTCAAGTTTATTTTGTTGAACAAGGTGACAACTCAGTGGATCATGATAATCCGCTGCCTGTACGTGTTTATACTGAGAGCAGTACGAATAGTACAGGGAGGTTAAGTGTTGACTGCAACAACTTTCAGGATCTGGCAGAAGGAAGTGACGGCAAGGTTTGGCAGCATCAACGGCTTTGTCGGCGATGACACCTTACGTGGCTTCGGTAAAACCCTCCCGCAAATATCCGCCCCAAAGCTCATTCACGAAGATTTGCGGGGTCATGAGGCGGCTCTCAAAGCGCCGTTCAGCCTCCTGTGCGGCGGCGGTGGTGGTGCGCCCCCTCCCTAAGCCGGGGGGCGGTGACTTCCCCGGTGAGCCGGTGGCGACACGCCGGTTCCTCCACCAGGCGGCAGATGCAGCCACCGTAGCATGCGCCAACTGTAATAAAACGACAATGGTAATCAGAATAATTTGTTTATTTAGCCACGATTGCCACGCTATAGTCCGAAGACTTTCATCAGGAGGGTCGTTCCTTTGGGATGCTTGGCCGTCATCCATTTTGTGTCGCACGGCTTTAAAGCAACTTCTTCACCATCGCCGTGGAAGCACACGCGTCGTTGGCAGGAGGAGAGGCCAGTGTGGCAATACCCTCCTCTGTCTTCGCCAGCTGCGCAGTTCCCACGTCTTGGTGCCACCCCGTGGTTGCACCGACCGGGAAGCAATGGCGAGATACGGCCGTACTCTCACTGGTGCCGGCCACGATGCGCCCTCAGTCTCGGTGATTCGATGACGCGCCGGTTAACGGTGATCCCTTCCATCCCCCCCCCCCCCTTTTTCCACCGAGGACCTGACGTCGGCACTCACCAAGAAGATCACGCTCAAGACGCCGCTCGTCTCCTCGCCCATGGACACCGTCACCGAGTCCGACATGGCCATCGCCATGGCGGTGAGAGCGGCGCAAATTTTCTCACCCAGAGTTACCCGGGGTCAGCGATAGTTACCCGGGGTCACTGATAGTTACCTGGGGTCACCGATAGTTACCCGGGCTCACCGATAGTTACCCGGGGTCACTTGAATGGGTCTCACTTTCATCACGCAGTATGAGAGGCAAATGTTCTCTGAACCTGTCCTGGGCCTCCCCCCCCTGGGTAAACTCGGCCTCAAGAATTAGAGCTCCTTGTGCGGTGCGATGTGGTGTCAACATAAGCTGTGGGAGACAGAGAGGAGCCGGCGTGGGGCTGGCCACACCACCCTCTCGTGCTCTGTGCCGGCCTTTATCGGTGCTCACGAACAACACTTACCACAACAATGTCTTAAGGCTACGTGGGTATTGTGGGGGGGTGGTGGTGTTTGTCTTTGTTTGAGCAGCTGATGGGCGGCATCGGCTTTATCCATCACAACTGCACCCCCGAGTCCCAGGCTCACGAAGTGCACCAGGTCAAGGTACGACGCGCAACATCGCCACCCTCTCTTCTTAAAAATCAAACAAACCCATCCTCTCTCTTAGGAAATATCTCTCCCAGTTTCACCCCGATTATGCTATCGGCACCAAGTCACGAGTTTAATAATTTATTGAGAAATCTTGCAGGGCAGTGCAAACCCCTCTCCCCCAACTTCCGCGGTTGGTAACGGCCGACAGAAGCGGATATCCATTGAGTGATAATGATTTTCCTCCGCCACGATTCTACGAACCGTCATGATCTTGAGGTCACATAATTGAAGGGCAAATTAGTATAATGTTTTGCCTCGTTTGTGCTTTTCCTTGCGTTTGGCGGCGGCAATTTGTTCCGGAGCAAAGCGCCATTGGTCGTGGTCTGCTGGCCACGATGAGAGGGCTTTAGCAGAGAGAGAGAGAGTCGTTTTGCTGTTCTTCTTCCGTTGAAGGAGCATAGACTTCTGTGTGGGTTTATTATGCGCTGCATAGTTTGTCATTAAAGACAAACCGCACTACTGCAGTTTGTCTTTAATGTATCTCTGTGAATCTCTACATATCTCTGTGTCTCTGGTTTTACTTACATTGTCCATACTTAACCATGGCCACAGTTGCACCACTGTGGCTTGCGTCCTTAATCTTCTATTAATGAAGATGTGCCCATCGACCTGTTGTTGATGATGTTCTGATGCAGTTGTAGAGCCTGCCTCGTGTACTCGCTGTTGTCAGTGCTGTCCCCTCTGCACTGCCTCTTCGCCACAGATGATCAGGATGAGAGCGGTCCTTGATTTTTTTTTTTGCACCGCATCTCCCTCTAACCTTTGCTCTCATCCCCACCGCTCACCTCTCTCTCTCCGCTCGCTGCCCACTGCTCAACTACTGACCGCTCACCACTTGTGACTCACCACTCATGTACTCATCCCTCGCCCACCCACCTGCCCGCCCGCCCACCCACCAACCACCGCCCACGACCCATCGCTCTTTGCTCACCGCCCGCTCTCCTTCGTCACCCACCGCTTACCGCTCACCACGGCCGCTCGCCGGCAGAAGTACGAGCAGGGCTTTATCACGGACCCCGTGGTGCTGAGCCCGGCACACACGGTGGGCGACGTGCTGGAGGCCAAGGCGCGCCACGGCTTCTCAGGGATCCCCATCACCGAGACGGGGCGCATGGGCGGCCGCCTCGCCGGCGTCATCACCTCGCGCGACATCGACTTCCTCACCGAGAAGGACCACGGCATCCCGCTCCACCAGGTCGCTTGTCGCTGCGCCACCACCACCACCACCACCGCAAGCCGCCACTGTGCTGCCACCGTGGCGGTGGTGGGCACAGTGATCGTTGTGGTGTTCGTGGTATTGTTACTGGAGGGTGATGGTGATTATGGTTAATTCGTGACAGTTGTGGTGGTGGTGATGGCGATAGTGATCGCTTTGGTGTTGGTCATGATCGCTGTGGTGTTAGTGGTAAGAGTGGTGTTGGTGGTGATGATCGCTGTGGTGTTAGTGGTAAGAGTTGTGGTGGTGGTGATGATCGCTGTGGTGTTAGTGGTAAGAGTGGTGGCGGTGGTGATGATCGCTGTGGTGTTAGTGGTGTAATGCGGGCGTAAATGGGCGGGGCGGATATGACGATCCGAGAGGGAGGAGTCAGGGTCACGTGGGGGAGAAGTTATAGCGGGGAGGCAGGAAGCCATCTGGGTCAGTCGGGGGAGTGAAGGGTGGTGAACACGTTGGGTGGTCGCCGTGCCTCAGCCTGGTGGCTGAGGGGCTCATGACGGCGCCAGCCAGCGGGGTGGAAGAGAGTTGGGGATAGAGCTGAGGTTGGAGATGGCGAGATAGCCACAGAGGCCACGCAGGGCTGAGGTTGGAGATGGCGAGATAGCCACAGAGGCCACGGAGGGCTGAGGTTGGGGAGTGGCGAGATCGCCACACACGGTAAGACTCGGCACCGCCGGCCAGCGGTGACCGAGCACGGAGGAACAGGGAGCAGCGGTGGAGCTGCTGTGAGAGCAGCCAGAGGGCTGCACCAAGAGCCTGCAGCGGAGCTGCAGGAGCGCGGAAGGCTACGGGAGCGAAGGCAGCTGTGGAGCTGCCAGGCAGAGAGTCTCAGGAGGAGTGCCGTGAGGGAAGGAGAACGCGAACCCAAATAAAGGACACGGAGACAGAACCAGGGTCGAGTCCTTTATTACAGTGGTAAGAATGGTGGTGGTGATGATCGCTGTGGTGTTAGTGGTAAGAGTTGTGGTGGTGGTGGTGGTGATAGTAATTGTGGTGTTAGTGGTGAGCAGTAGTGTAGTGGTTAGTGCCACCGCTCACGGCCACCACCAGTGACGATCTGATCCGGTCCTGGGCCTCCCCTGGTGCAGTGTGTAGACATAGCCACTAAGGAGACAAAGGCGGCCGGGCGAGGTGCTGGCCATAGCCCCATTTCATGCTCTATACCGGCCTTCATAGGTGCTCGCTAACAGCACCTTCCGCAACAGTCTGTTAAGGCTATGCGGGGGATCTTTGTCTTTGGTGGTGGTTGAGTTAGTCAAGCATGGCGACGCACATTGTCCAGCGCTTTGGAGACAAGAGTTGGTGTGTCACACAGATTTGTGAAGCCCCCAAAACCACTGGTTTGCCAGGTGGCCTGGAGATGGCAGTACAGCACATGGCTTATTTAATCCTCCTGCGCTGAACTTTCAGTAGTTTGCCCTGGCACCTCCAGATTTCACATCCAGTGTCGGTGACAGTGATGGTGTTTGTATCTCTGCTGATGGTGGTAATGATGGTGATTGTGTTTGTATCGTTGTCGATGGCGGTGATGAGGATGGAGCTAGTGTTGGTGTTGTTTTTCTGTCCATGGTCCGAATGATGATGATGATGATGATGATTGTTTCGCTCTTGATGGTGACGATGATGTTGATGGCGGTGACGGTGATGGTGGCGGTGATGTTGATGGCGGTGGGGCAGGTGATGACGCGGAGGGAGGACCTTGTGGTGGCCCCATTTGGCGTGACCCTCAAGGAGGCCAATGACATCCTTCAGAGGAGCAAGAAAGGCATGTGTGTGTGTGTGTCCCGCTTCGCAATCGCAGCATGTGTCTGTGTGTCCCGCTCCATTATGGCACCATGTGTGTGTGTCCCGCTCCACCATCGCAGCATGTCTGTGCGTGTGTGTCCCGCTTCGCAATCGCAGCACATGTGTGTGTGTCCCGTTCCACCATCGCAGCACGTGTCTGTGTGTCCCGCTCCACCATCACAGCATGTGTGTGTGTACCGCTCCACGATCACAACATGTGTGTGTGTGTCCCACTCCACCATCGCAGAATGTGTCTGTGTGTCCCGCTCCACCATCGCAGCATTTGTCTGTGCGTCCCGCTCCACCATTGCAGCACGTGTGTGTGTGTCCCGCTCGACCATCGCAGAATGTGTCTGTGTGTCCCGCTTCACGATCACAACATGTGTCTGTGTGTCCCACTCCATCATCGCAGAATGTGTTTGTGTGTCCCGCTCGACCATCGCAGCTTGTGTCTGTGTGTCCCGCTCCACCATCACAGCATTTGTCTGTGTGTCCCGCTCCACCATCACAGCATTTGTCTGTGCGTCCCGCTCCACCATCACAGCACGTGTCTGTGTGTCCCGCTCCACCATCGCAGCATTTGTCTGTGCGTCCCGCTCCACCATCACAGCACGTGTCTGTGTGTCCCGCTCCACCATCGCAGCATTTGTCTGTGCGTCCCGCTCCACCATCGCAGCATGTGTCTGTGTGTCCCGCTCCACCATCACAGAATGTGTGTGTGTGTGTCCCGCTCCACCATCACAGCACGTGTCTGTGTGTCCCGCTCCACCATCACAGAATGTGTGTATGTCCCGCTCCACCATCGCAGCATGTGTCTGTGTGTCCCGCTCCACCATCACAGAATGTGTGTGTGTGTGTTCCGCTCCACCATCACAACATGTGTGTGTGTCCCGCTCCACCATCGCAGCATGTGTCTGTGTGTCCCGCTCCACCATCACAGAATGTGTGTGTGTGTCCCGCTCCACCATCACAGCATGTGTCTGTGTGTCCCTCTCCACCATCGCAGCATGTGTCTGTGTGTCCCGCTCCACCATCACAGAATGTGTGTGTGTGTGTCCCGCTCCACCATCGCAGCATGTGTCTGTGTGTCCTGCTCCACCATCACAGAATGTGTGTGTGTGTGTCCCGCTCCACCATCACAGCATGTGTCTTGTGTGTCCCGCTCCACCATCGCAGCACATATCTGTGTGTCCCGCTCCACCATCGCAGCACGTGTCTGTGCGTCCCACTCCACGATCACAGAATGTGTGTGTGTGTCCCGCTCCACCATCGCAGCATGTGTCTGTGTGTGTCCCGCTCCACCATCACAACATGTGTGTGTGTGTGTGTGTCTCGCTCCACCATCACAGCATGTGTCTGTGTGTCCCGCTCCACCATCGCAACATGTGTCTGTGTGTCCCACTCCACCATCACAGCATGTGTCTGTGCGTCCCACTCCACCATCGCAGCACGTGTCTGTGTGTCCCGCTCCACCATCGCAGCATGTGTCTGTGTGTCCCGCTCCACCATCGCAGCACCTGTGTGTCTGTGCGTCCCACTCCACCATCGCACCACGTGTGTGCCCCACCCCACTCCGCGATGGTAGCGCAGAGTGGGGGGTGCACGTGTGTCTGAGTGTTCCCCCCACTCCGGTTAACGCGCTGCGCTACGAACCCGGCGACCCGACTTCAATTCCCGCTCACGGCCAACACCAGTGACGATTATTTGAACCAATCCGGGGCCTTCCTTAAGTCAACTCAACCTCAAATGAGTACCTAGTGCGGTGTGTAAACATTGCCACTACGGAGACAAAGGCGTGGTGTTGGCCACCCAGCCCCTCGTGTGCCGTGCCGGCCTTCATAGATGCTCACGAACACCACTTGCTCCGACACGTGTGTGTTCCCCGCCCCCACTCCACGATCGCAGTGCGGGTTCACATAACGCCGACGTGTACACCCCATAGCACCCCAGTGCGCTGGGCAGCAACAGACAAGATAACCACCGTCTTGCACGGAAATGCATCGCCCATTTACAAGATACGGTTTAAGACTGAGTGGTTAAGTGAGTGAGTCAGTAAACGAGGGGGTAGGTGAGTGAGTGGGTTGGGGAGTGAGTGAGTAAACGAGGGGGTTGGTAAGTGAGTGAGTGGGAGTGGGCTCATGAGTGGGTGAGTGAGTGAATGAACCAGCGAGTCAACGAGAGTGTGAGCGAGTAGGTGAGAGCGAGTCGATATACGGGTGAGCGATGAAGTCACAAACCGCCAAGCTTCGCACGCGAGCCGGGGTGAGCGAGCAGAGCGGCGCAGCATGGCCATCGCAGCACAACGCACGTGGCATGCCGCTTGGGAGATGCGGTATCGATAACAAATGGTGACGATGAGAACGATGACGACGGCGATGATGATGATGATAACACGTGTCCATCCATCCGTCCGTCCGCGCCACTGCAGGGAAGCTGCCGATCGTGAACGAGGCCGGCGAGCTGGTGGCCATCATGGCGCGCACCGACCTCAAGAAGAACCGCGACTTCCCGCTCGCCTCCAAGGATGCGCACAAGCAGCTGCTGTGCGGCGCCGCCGTCGGCACTCGCCCGGACGACCAGCACCGCCTGGAGCTGCTCGTCAAGGCCGGGGTGGACGTCGTCATCCTGGTACGCTCCACGCCCGCTCGTCCGCCATGGCTCACTCAGCCCGCCTGTCATGGCTGCGGCTTGTCTGCCCGCCCCCTCGGCTGTCTCGCCCTGCCTCTACAGCCATCTTTACCCAGCCGCCACAGCTTTTTCGTCCTGCTCGCCACGGCTATAGTTTGTCCGTCTGCCACACCAACGTTCAAGTCCCCAGTGCCGCCGGTGTGAGTCCGTGTCATTTTGTGTGTGTGTGTGCATGCGCGCCGCTGATGCCAGGTGGATGTGTCCGTGTGTGTGTTTGGCCATATAGGGAGTGATGGATGCATTGTTGGCCTGTGTGTGGATTTGGTTCGGGCTGGTTCCGTGTGTTTGTGCCGTCTTACGCATGTGTACCTTTGTGTGCTGTCCCGTGAGTGACGCTCCATGGACAGTATTGCCTCGTTATTCGTGAATTACCTTGAATAAGCTATAAAATACGTGAAAATTATCATAACCCAAAAATTGGTTATAATAAACATACAGTAAATAAAAATGAAAATTAAAGTATTCAATAATAATTTATAAATTAACTTACCTTAAACTATAATGATACTACGCATCATCACTTTATCTCATCACTTTCTCTCATCACTTTCTCTCTCGTAACTTGATATTTCTCTCTCTTCCTTCATGCAGCCGTGTAGAGTTTTAGATGCGATTCGCGGAGAGCCAAAATCGCGGATAGCAAGTCGGTGAATAACTATGGAAACCCTGTCTACTACCACCGCCCTGTGTGTTCCACCACCCTGCGTGGCCCCCAGGACTCCTCGCAAGGGAACTCGGTGTTCCAGATCAACATGATCCGCTACATCAAGCAGACGTACCCCGAGCTGCAGGTCATCGGCGGAAACGGTGCGAGTAACATCACGAGGGCTGGGGGGGAGGGGCGGGGGTGTCAGTGCGGTGAACGCCCACACTGAGAATCAGAACCAACATTGAATGGCATGCGGCGGACATACAGAGGCGGAGTTAGCGACAGACAGGATCTCAGGCATATTTTGTAAGGGTTAGGGTTATGGTTGAATCGTGTAGCTGATTGGCTAGTTGGTTAGGATTGAGATAGGGCCAGTACTCTCGGCTTTAGGCCCGTGGGTTGGAGGTGGGGCTCGTAATGGTGCCCGGTTGAATTCTAGTTGGAGAGGTATAGCAAAGAGTAGCTGGTTCGCTCATTGCTTACAGGTAAAGCCAGGAGGAGACCGATGATCTTTAAATATTCACATCACGTGCAGGCTAATTGAATAAACGAGACGGAACAAACGAGAAGGACGGTACCAATAATGCAATATCAATGGTGTGAACAGTGGTCGTGGCGGCGAGCGTTGGCGCGGGGAGCGAGCGGTTGCGTGAGTAGCGATCGCGTGCCACCCTCACAGTGGTGACAGCGGCGCAGGCCAAGAACCTGATCGACGCGGGGGTGGACGCACTCCGAGTCGGCATGGGCGCCGGCTCCATCTGCATCACGCAGGAGGGTGAGTGTGCGCGCGCGCGCAAGCGAGCGGCGCCACATCACACGCACGGCACCATACGCACTGTGTCACATCACACGCGCGGCACCACACGCACTGCGTCACATCACACATGTGGAACCACACGCACTGCATCACATGAAATGCACCACGTGGAATCCGCGCACCGTAACACGTGGGGCGCCGCGGTGGCGAGATGTCGTGGGTTTGATTTCAAACCTTTATATTTGAAGTTTGTACGTCTCCTCTCCCCGTGGTCACGTGGATTTTTCCCCGGGTCCTCCATATTTTCTGTCCAGATTTTGAAGCAACGTGCGTTTAGAGTATTTGGCTGCAATACATTTCCACATGATAAGCCACTTCATTGAGCTATCATTTGTGGCCAGGCCGCATCTGAAAAAAAGCTACGTAGCTCAGTGGGCCTTGCTTGGTAAAATAAAAGTAGTTTAATAGTTTATTTCCTGACATCGTACCTTACCACCCACACCATGCGCGTGCGTGCGTGCGCATGTGCTCGACCCCATGTGTGTATATGTATACCCGTGTGCGTGCGTGTATCCACGTGCAGTACCCGCGTGCGTGCGTGTACCCGTGTGTGCTCGCGCGTGCAGTGATGGCAGTTGGCCGCCCCCAGGGCACCGCCGTGTACCGCGTGGCCGAGTACGCGCGCCGCTTCGGTGTGCCCGTCATGGCTGATGGCGGCATCCAGACGGTGGGGCACATCACCAAGGCGCTGGCGCTCGGGGCCTCCACCGGTGCGGGAAGCACGCGCGCACGCACGCACTCTCATGACTGTACCGTTGGTGGGTTATACCACTGACAGGTTGTACTGCTGGTAGGTTGTACCATGATTGTACTCTACCATAGGTGGACCGTACCACCAACAGGTTTTACCACTGATGGGCCCGGCCGTACCACTAACGGGCCGCACCACCAATGGGTTGTACCACTGATGGGGACTGTATCATTCTCGGGTTGTATCACCGGACCGTGCCACTGTGCGCGCGTGCAGTGATGATGGGCTCCCTGCTGGCCGCCACCACGGAGGCGCCGGGCGAGTACTTCTTCTCAGACGGCGTGCGGCTCAAAAAGTACCGCGGCATGGGCTCGCTGGACGCCATGGAGAAGAACCAGGGCAGCCAGAGCCGCTACTTCAGGTGCCGCCACCGCCACTGCCGCCACCACCAACACCACTACCATCACCGCTGCCATCACCACTGCCGCCATCCCCACCGCCGCGCGGAAAGTGCGGACGTCGTGGAGAGAGAAACACGTCCCTGTGCGGGAACTCGGGGAGAAGCAGACCAGAGCACACTGCCAGTCAGAAGCTAGTCCTAGCCTGTACTAACCAGCCAATTGGCAGATAGACCTCACGATTACTCTTAACGCGGCCAGGGGAAGGCTTGTGGGGAAGCTTATGAAGGGCTGGGAGAACCTCGTGAAGGTTAAGGAAGTCTCATGAAGGCTTGTGTATGCATGTTGCACTTCTTTCGCCACTGTATTTAGCCAACCATCCTCATTGGTTGGCTACCTACGGAGACGCCTGAGAATTCTCATGAAGGCTAGAGAAGGCTCATGAAGGGCAGGGATGGGTTGTGAAGAGCCAGGGAAGCTCGCAGGCTACCCGGAGTGAGACGTCGCTGGCTGCCGTTTGTTTCATAGCGAGAACGACAAGATGAAGGTGGCGCAGGGCGTATCGGGCTCCGTGCAGGACAAGGGCTCGGTGCAGCGCTTCGTGCCGTACCTCATCGCCGGCATGCAGCACGGCTGCCAGGACATCGGCGCCAAGTCGCTCTCCATCCTCCGGCACGGCGTGACCCCCGCGCACACCCACAACAAACATGCGGCACTACCACTGCCGCCACCACCACCACCACAGTCACAATCACTGCTACCGCCAAACAAAGACCTTATAGCCTAAACAGACTGTAGGAGCAAGTGGTGTTCGTGAGCATCAATGCAGGCCGCCACGGCACACGAGGGGTTGGATGGCCAACACCACGCCCGGCCACCTTTGTCTCCCGAGTGGTGATGTTTACACACTGCACCAGGTACTCATTTGAGGCAGAGTTGACCTAGGGGAGACCCAGGACCGACCGGCTCAGATAATCATCACTGGTGTTGGCTGTGAACAGGAATCGAACCCGGGTCTCTAAGTCCGTAGCACAGCGCGCTAACCGCTGCACTCCCGCTCCTTACACTGTTATTGCCACCACCGCCATGACCATCATCATCATCGCCACCACGACTGCTGCCTCCACCATTGCCGCCACAACCGCCACCGCCGTCGCCACCACTGCACTTCTCCGTTCCGGCATCCCGCGTCGAGGCTGTGGCGAGAGTCAGCCGAGCCCTGCTGACGAGCCGCTTGTCCCTGGTGCCGTCGCAGGTCCATGATGTACACGGGGGAGCTCAAGTTCGAGAAGCGGACCATGTCGGCGCAGGTGGAGGGCGGCGTGCACGGCCTGCACTCGTGAGTGGACCACTGCAGACGCACGCAGACACGCACGCAGACACGCACGCAGACACGCACGCAGACACGCACGCAGATACACACACATGCAGATACGCACACATGCAGACACGCACACATGCAGACACGCAGACACGCATACACGCAGACACGCACGCAGACACGCACGCAGACACGCACGCAGACACGCACGCACTTTCAAACGCAGACACTAAAAAACGATAAAGACCCCCCCTTAGCCTTTAACAGACTGTTGGGGCCAGTGCTGTTCGCGAGCACCCATGAAGGCCGACACTGCTGATTAGCACCACGCCCGTCCGTGGTGCGGGCGTGGTGCTGATCATCGCACTATTTGCTCATTTAAGACTGAGTTGACTTAGGCGAGGTTCAAGACTGCTTTCTGGTATTCGTCACTGATGTTGATCCTGAGCTGGAATCAAATTCCTGTTGCCTAGTTCGTAGCATAGTGCGCTAACCACCGCACCACTGCTCCCTACACACGTACACATCTGTATACACACACAACCGCCATTCGCCACCAAGTGGCGGTGATGTCACCACAGCACTTGTGCCAGGTTACATTCACTTTGAGGCCACGTCAAGTGATGCAGACTGACTGCCAGGAGGTCACAAGGCAGACCCTGGGGTTATGAATTGACTGACAAAAAATATATAGCTGCTCCATCTATGCTCCCCACTGTACCACTTATACATTTTAGTCACCCAGAGCTTCGCTCGTTGTAGTGAGCGTCGCTCAAACACACGAACACACGTACACAAGCACACGTGTAAACACAAGCACCCACACACACACATACCTGGTACATACTGACACTGAATTATAAACTCTCCTACACACGTACACACCCACGCTAATCTCTCCCACGCGCATGCCGGGTCCTGGTGTGGCGTGACGAACCGCATCTCCCACAACATTACGGTCGCTCACCTTCGCGCACATCATCGCATGTGTACGTGCCTGCCTGCCTGCGTGCGTGCCTGCATGCGTGCCTGCGTGCGTGTGTGCGTGCGTGCGTGCGTGCTTGCGGGTGTGCGTGCGTGTGCGCGTGTCTTGCCAATCCAGGCCACGTGTGTTTTTTGCACACAGCTTACAGGGAGACGCGGTCTCTACACACAAATCACTTGTAGACACGCGCCGAGGATGCTGTGTGTCCTGGGCTGTCTCCTGCACTGATTTGTTTTTTGATAAACAAAACAAACTTTAAAGTGACTTGCCGGTGTTTGCCGATGTAGCGACATCGCGGTGGTGATGTAGCAGAACAGGGTTCGCCAAACTCTTGACATCCACCAACTTTCTCCGTTGAAATGCAACACAGGTCATTCATACTCTGCACCCACCTGCCGATTGCTAAACATGTCACACAGGATGTAGAGCACTGATTCAAATGGCCATCCTTGCTTGATTTCAATCGGAGCTGCCTACGTCACCGTGGGACGGCACGCACGTATGCACATGCACTCCCATGTACACACACAACGGCAGCTGCTAAGTGGCGGTGGTGTCTCCACCGTGCTCGCGCCAGGATAGGTGCCCTTTGAAGCCAAAGTGGCAGGATAGGTTACAAGGCTTGCTCTCAGGTCAATAGCACCTCCACCTGTCGCAGCACAGATGCGCAGGTGTTATTGCTTAACTGACCGAGTTGACGGGCAGATGCACCACGTGTTCCCCACTGTCCCGTGTAGCCATGAACAAACTGTTGGGGTAAGTGCTGTTTACGAGCACCTGTGAGGACTGGCACGGCACACAAGATGGGGAGGGGGACCAACACCGTACCCAGCCATCTTTGTCTCCCCAGTGTTGATGTTTACACACTGCACCAGGTACAAATATAAGGCTGAGTCGACCCGTGTGAGGTCCAGTACCGGTTCAAATACTAAACTGTTATTGGCTGTGAGTGTAAATCGTTCTCTACACAAGCGCCATATCTACACACACACACACGGGACCTCCCATCTTAATTCGAATTCACATTTTCTACTTTCACCCGGGATCTTGAATTCCTATTCCGATCATCAGGGTACGCGCAGCACACGTAACGACTGGTATTTCACCCGGGATCTTGAATTCCTATTCCGATCATCAGGGTACGCGCAGCGCACGTAACGACTGGTATTTAGATGAAGAAGGCCCTAAACGTTGAGGGAGGTGCGCGTGCGCTGCGTTTGGGACGCGAGGACAGGGACCTTTTTCAGGCCCCGCGTTAGAAAGCACGTCCGGCGCCGCCACGCCACAGTGGCAGTCACCGGAGCCGTCGTCCGCTCGGGGGCCTGGAACACGCGGCGTTAGGGTGCAAGCGTGCAAGACGAGAGCCCGTCGGGCTGTAAGGAAGACGCAAACGAGGCGGCGACCTTGAAGGCGGCGTGCGTGTGGGAGTGGCCGTTTGTGGGTTCCGGTCGTTTTGAGTCGCGCATCTGACCAGACTTCTCTCTTTCTCCGTCTCTCTCTCCCTGTCTTGTCTCCTGTCTGTCTCTCTCTCTCTGTCTTTCCGCATCGCTTGTGCATGGCCCTCAGATACACGTTCGTACCATGTGAGTACCGCTCAAGCACCGCGCCTCGTGGTGTTTTTTGGTCGGCTGGGGGGAATTGGGGGGCAGGGGGGGGTTACGGGGAGGAGGCGGGGGGTGGGGGCCCGGCGCTCGTTTGCAAGAGTTTTTTTTTCCCCCGCTCACGAAAAAAGCTTTGCGAAGCTGCTCATTTACGTTTCGCATTTCATTTGCCACCACTTTTTTTTAAACCATTTTTTTCTACATATTCTCTTTTTTCGCCTGCGAGTCATGTTGAGAATCCACGGAAGTGAATTTGAATTTGTCGCGCCCTCCCCCCCTCGGCCCCCCCTCGGCCCCCCTCCCCCACTCCGCCCCCCCTCCCTTACCCTGGGGGGGACGAAATCTACTCTACGCACTGTCGGCCGGGATTCCCCCCCCCCCATCTTCTGCTAAAGCACTCCCACGCTGGGCAGCGCACGCCACAGCCCCCCCTTCCCCCACACCGTGAGCCGTGATCGTGGTTACAGACGTAACACCGCTCGCCGGTAACGGAGTAACGCCGATCGGTCTCCGGCAACTTGGCGAGCGTTTGCACCGGTGGGGGGCTGGCACACGTTGACCCCAGTGGCCTTCCCCTCCCCCCCCAGGTCCCTACTGCCATGCCGCTAACATCACAGGAAATCTGTGCAATCCCGCGGGACTGCGCGGTCATCTCCTGGCAGAAAATTCCATAATTACTTTGTTTAATACTGTAATTAATCAACAATAGCCGCATAGAGGGGAGAATGGTAGGGTTAGGGGAGAGGGTAACAGCAGAGGTGAGCGAACAAGAATAAATGACCAACGAGAGTTTCCCAGCAATGGCATCTGGAAAGAATACCTCTGCCTAGAGTCAGGTGTGAGCGATCTGTACCTCCGATTAGCACGGTTGGCTACGTAGCGGTGCGAGAGAAGTTCAACACACAAACAAAGCAACTGAACTGCGAGCAAAGTAACTTGAAGGGGTCTCTGAAGTAGTTCTATAATGCAGTCTCTCAACCCAAGCGGTCACGGCCGCACCCACGGTGTTCGGCTTTCCCCGATTGCCGACCAATCGGGTGCGAGGGAGGGTTGCCAGGACCGCAGCTGAGAAACGCCGCTCTGCCACATGTGCGGTGGGGCAAGGGGCCATCCATTGAGTAGGTACGCAATAATCTGTCAAAACCTGACCCCTCCCCACCTCCCTGTACGCACGCGTACTTTTTACACCCCCCCCCCCCCCACCTGCGTACGTACGCTTGACACACCCCCCGAATCCTATAGAACGGCCGATATTTAATTCACGCAGAAACGATCAAGGATTAATAATATTAACGTGTTTAAGCAAACAGATAGTCCACACCGCCGGACTATCTAACTCATTTGTAGGCCAATGTAGACTAATTATTATCGAGGCTTCACCACCCCCCCCCCCCCGTTTCCTATGCTACATTGTCAGTAGACCCCCCATACGCAAGCGTACGCATTTGTGTTAACCCCCCCCCCCCTCCATGCGTACGTACTATATGGATGGCCCCCAACTCCGGGCCGTCGCCAACGGGGTTCCTGCCACTCGTGGCAACGGAGCCGGTGCCACGATCGGAATAAAACTGGACTTGCAAATTAGATTTTCTTTATTCGAAAACATTTAACGCTTTCCCATTCTAAGATGTCTGCAAGTTGCAGGGTGGGGTCCCAATCTCGGAAATCGCAAGCGGCCCAACGTTAATTTTATTTAGAGAGGCATAGCACCGTTTCTTTTTTAAATATATTGTACCAATCGCAGAGAACTGTAGGGACATGACAGCACTCTATGATAGCTGGTGCCAAACTGTGCCACATGCCCTCCCATATGTTTTTTTTCAGTACCAATAAAGTTATTTTTTTCTTCTGACTTTGTTCCGATGACATGCAAGTACGGTATGCATATCGGAACGAAACCGGAAGAAAAACTGTTTACGTACACGTACGTCATCAGAACGGAAAATGGTTATTCATAATAGAGGTTTTTCGGTTGGATCGCGTAAATATATAAATGTGTCGTTAAAATTCGTCACTAGGACAACACACCGTTGTGTTGGAGAGCCAAGCCACAACATTTACAATCTGAGTATTTGTGAAAAATCTGGCTGTTGCCTGATGAAGCTAGTTGTAATTACTGGCGAAAGGTCGTAATAAGATGGTAAATGTTGTGGCTTGGCTCTCCAACACACCGGTTAGTGCTGTACTAGTGACGAATTGGCCACGTTCTGTTTGCGTGACAACCCTTACTAGTTGGCTGTGTCGGGTGGTGGCGGGTTTTAACGACACATTTATATATTGACGCGATCTAACCCAAAAACCTCTATTATGGATGACATTGCTCGCGAAAGCCTATGTGGAAAAGGGTTAATTAATGTATTTTTTTTTATTAATGTTCGCTATCCTGCCAGCCCATGGGATTGTGCACAGTGTGGTTGCCCTGGGTACTGTCGCTCTCATGCTATCGTTGCACATCATCGTATTTTACATCGTCGTTGTCGTTGTTGTTGTTTCCCGTTGTAACTATCTCGTGTGTCTTCCTGACTGTGGACCGCCCATGTCCCCCGATTCCCTCTCCGTGTCATTCCCCTTCGTGCCCCCCCCCCCCCCATCTCCCGCGCCGTTCAAAGTCACGAAGAACGCTCCTACTGAGAGCGGCGGATGTCCCAGCCGGAGCCGCACACCCAGCATCACGCCGTGCGCCACCACGCTGCGCTCCTCCGCCTGCTGCAACGGCTGGAACTGAGCCCCGCCCCCCCCTGCGTCGCCGCCGTCCGTCGCGACCGTCGCCCTCTTCGTCGCTCCTGCCCGGACGGGACCATCCGGACGACGGGAACCGCCGCGAGGGAGATGGAGCGGGCGAAGCGAGGGAGGAGACGGGGGGGGGCGGCGTAGAAGACGGCGATCCGCCAGCCGGAGAATGTTTACGCGGTGTAAGCGTGCACTGTAAGACGGGAGAGTTTATTTTTTATGTTTGTCAGGCGTGAGAAAAAAACGACCAAAGGTGAAAGAGAGAGAGAGACGATTGTTGTTTTTTTACGTGTTTTACTTTGTCCACGCCGGGCCTGGCTAGTCCCCCGGCCCGGTAACCGCGTGCGGAAAATCGCCCCGTTCGTTTTTGAGAATCTCGCATCAGCAGAACCCACGGCGATGACGGTGACGCGGCAGAGGTCGCGGTTTTTATTGGCCGAGCGCGGCGTCGCCATGGCCGCATGGTCCGAGGGCCCAACCCAGGGCCCTCTGCCACCCCACTCCCCTCCCTACCTACCCCTCGTGGGGGGGGGGGGGGGAGGCCACCACCCACCCGGCCACCCGGCCTGGGAGCTCACTCGGGGTGTTTGTTTTGTGAAGCCATTCCAATGTTTTGACGAATGTCACGCGCAGTTTACATTCAGGCCAACGGTCCATAGTTTGTAAGCCTTTTGTAAAAATTTTACTCGGAGATGTAAAGGAATTGGCCATCAAGGGAATGACCGGAAATCCGAGTCCCGAGTTTCTTTATCCACGATGTAGGCAGCGGTGACGTTCAATTCGAGGATCGGCACTTCCCGTTGTGCTGTTGACTGCCGACTCCCGCCATAGGAATGTGGACTTTCCGCCATCGATTCAGGGCCGACAAACACGACCATCTGACCCCCACGGGGAGACGCGTGCAGGAGCGGTAGGGGATTTAGACACGGCCCTTTTTAAGTTGTCCTTGTGTCGGTATCGGAATTATACGAGCATCTTATCGTTATACTGAACATGTAATCGCCTATGTAATAACAATATCCTTTAGAATCTTACAGAATACTAGAAATGTTAACGATATCCTAGAATAAGGCAAAAATATTAGCAATGCTATGTTGAATCGTGAAAAATTAATATCCTATAACAGCATTTGGTCCTATGGAGAGACTGGCTCCTGTAATAGTAATGTGGAATTTACATCATCGATTCGTAGCTGTCAACAGAATCCTGCGCTGCTCCAACTCTCGCTGAACAGGGAGACACTTGAAGGGATTTACAGCCTTGCTAATGTATGAAGTCGTTCAAGAATTAAATCAATTTAATAACAAAGATAATATTTTCATGCAGAAAACGTTATGTAGAATCGCAGTTCATGGTGGTGACGTTGATGAAGGTGGGAGTGATGATAATGATCGCGACGATTGCTATTGATCATCGTGGCGGTTATAATGAATGTTTTCTTGACAATGACAGAAACTACAGCTAATGATCACCGTGGTGGTGATGATGATAATGGTAGCGATGATCGCTATTAATCATAATGGTGGTGCTGATGAAGGTGGTCTTGACAATGATAGCGACGATTGCTATAGAAGCATGGTGGCAGTGAAGCTCGGAATGGATGATGATGATGATGATGCTAGCAGCAATGATAATTTGTGACATTGACGGCTACGCCGATGACGACGACGACGATGTCAGACGCCTTCCGCCCTACACTCCTGCACGTAGCACTAAAACTCTTCTCTCGGGCGCTGTTCGAAGGATTCTACACAGTGAAGTCCGCAAATCCGTGCGGAACAATAACTCAATGCCTTCGTTTTACTGTACGCGGTCCCTATCGGTGGCGTCCGTGGCAGCGGGCCCAAGTGACCCTGTTGGATAACGCCCCCGTGTATGGAAAAGCACAAGGATATTCCCAGCTCCGACGTATTCCGATTGCCTGTTGTGATTGTTCGTACCGCCTGTGACCGTGTTTGTTTTATAGGAGTCCGGAGCCCGCTCGGCTCTCGTTTGTGTTTTTTAGAACCGCGAAGCCAACGGAACCCCCCGCCCGTGTCGTGAGTGCTCGTGAACCACCACCACCTGCCTGCCCGAACGTCGCACCACCCCAAAGTGTTAAGTGTCACTTAACTCACCAACCAACCGTTTTTACGTTTTGTTTGTCCTCCGGAGATTCTTTCCGTACGTCCCGCCATAGCAATGTGGAATTTCTATCGTTGGCTCAACGTGGTCGGCCGTCGGGGGACGGAGCGGCGAGTTCCGTACGGATTTCATTTTCATTTCGCCATTCCTGCAGCGGAGTACCGCCTGCCCTGTTACTACCCACACCGTTGGGTTTCGTGCAATGTGCTACCGCTGTTGGTGTTATTATTGTTGTCTTTGTTATTAATTCCAATCGTTAAAGCTGCGTGAAATGATAACCAGTTGTCGGTTCGGTTATATTCGATTATTCCAATAGTTACCGCAGAACGACGCCACGTGAAGCTTTTGTATACCTACCATTTTTTGCGTCGAATAATTTTCGTGACGCGATTTGCGTAGCGCTGGGATGTGGTAGCCCGCCGTGACCAACACTGCAGTTAGTGACTTGGCCCAAGTGGTGAATCGCTTGGCACACGACGACAGTAAATCGATGAACCGTGGTTTATATACGCTCATGATACGTGCGCCAAATTGTGCGAGTAGATGTCGAACATTCACAATTTATACACCGACATTTTACCAACCAGATGAAGTCAAATCGTGACAATTCGTCAAATCGCCGAGGGGGGTAGTGAATCGGAACATGCCTGTAAAGTATTAAATAAAGTTTCACAAGACCGGGTATCTCTGGTCAGACCCCCTTGACTTGCAGTCAAAAGTTGATGAGGTCAGTGCCCAGTCAGAGAACAAACAGCCCATCCTCTGGGATCAATCAAATGAGTGCCACGGTGTGGGGGAGCCCCAATAGTGATTGCCCTATTTGAGAGATTTGGCCCCTGACATAGAAATGTGGAATTTTCCACCACCGTTTTGAGCAGAGAGTTGATATAAATGTAGCCGTTTACCAATTAATCAAACAACCGTTCTTCGAACGCGAATTATTGGAATAATCATGGCAGCCCACGTAATAATAATAATTGTTATTATTTCTATCCTATCCCAGGCGCGAGGTCCGGGTCTTTGTGTTGCCGAGTTGTTGTGAGCAAGCCGCGTGGTGCCGTGCGCGGGGCGTCGTGCGCTGTGGAGCCGTGCACCTGGAGCCGTGCGCATGGTACCGTGTTCGTGGTGCCGTGCTCGTGGTGCCGTGTTCGTGGTGCCATGCGCGTGGAGCCATGCTCGTGGTGCTCGCGCCGTGCGTTTGTTGGGACTCTCGGACCGGGCCCTGTTTACAGAGAATGACAAATAAAAGTCACTGCACAATAATAACAAACAAGACCAACATCACCCATATCGTGTTAACAGAGTTTTTGGGGCGAGTGCTGTTAGCGAGTAGCACCTATGAAGGCCGGCACGACACATGGCGGAGCGGGTTGAATCGATCTCGGGGAGGTTTAAATCATCATCACAGGTGATAGCCGTGAGCGGGAATTGAACCCGTGTTGCCGGGTTCGTAGCGCAATGTGCTGACCTGCACTGCACTATCGCTACTCACAATAATGACACCACCTCCACGACCACCATCACGTGTCTATCACAAGCCGTGTCGGTCACTGAAAAACGCATCTTCAAAAAAACCGATGGGAATTGTGTGTATCGTACAGCCCATGACTGGACCGAGCTCCCCTCTGGCAAAATGGGCGGGGGATTTTAAAACGAACATGTATTTTACAAAAAAAAATTGCTATTTCTAAGAATGTTCATTTGCAAAACTGCACCGCCGCCGAACAGTATTTGCTCGCTCGCGAAGAGAGAAGAGACGGCTTGGAGATGCCAGGACGAAGGAGCCACGTGCGATGAGCCGGTGCCAACAATTGCCCAAGCACTGTGATCCTCTACACATTCAGGTGTTATCAGGCCAATTAATGTTTACGTGTGAGAGAGAGGCCATGCGTACGAGGGGGAAACACTCCATCCCATACAGACGGTATATGTCGAGTCCGCATGTGTTGCTGTACCACCTTCTGGCGAGTCAGAGCACGGCTCCTCCTCGACACCGACGGGACGGGAGTTTCGCAACGTGTACCGGTGATCCACCAACCCTCTGCTGTTGCCTCCACAGCGCTGGGTTAGAGGCAGCCGCGTCAGAGGTCGCAAACGGGTTTTGATTCCTTACCCGTACCCGGCCGCACCAGGGTCGCAAACGGGTACCCGTACCCGGCCGTACCCTACCCGTACCCGGCCAGGTAGGGTACGGGTATCGGGTACCTGATTGCGACCTCTGGGATGAAGCCATGTTGCAGGCGCGAGTGGGTTGATTCTAGGAACTTGAATTGTGAGAAGAGACAAGACGTTGGGAAATGAGTGACAAACGGTGACTCACCAGTGACTCACGGTCTACCCGTACCCGGCCGCACCAGGGTCGCAAACGGCGGGTATCGGGTAGGGTACGGGTATCGGGTACCCGGTTGCGTCCTCTGAGCCGCGTGCAGCGAGCGTAGCCACCACCACCGCTTGACCGGCCGTAACCTTTGTCACTCACACGAGTAGGTACGTTCGTACCGTGTATGTTGCGGTTTGCCACCCGGACAACACGATGGTCCCATTGTAGCCGGAATCCATGAACTACAATAAAAAGTGAAACAAAAGGGAGCCAAGAGGGGACGGAGCCAAACTTGTGGGAACTTGTGGTTAGGGGCTCGGGCGATGGAAGACGTTGAAAATAAATTTGGGGGAAACCCCGCCTGTTCCACTACTCGCAAGCCGAGCAGAGTACGCCCACTCGGATGCTGAACTCCGATTCTCGACGGGACGATTGACAAAAGTATTTTTGGTCCGTGCTTGTGGTGACACGCATCCTTGTCCGCGAGTTCATTTGTCCCCGTCTGCCGGGCCTGGACTGAGCCATCGCATGGCCAGACGATAACAATATAATTAATAGTAATAATAACAATATACGGCTCTTTGTTAATCCACTGCTGGATGAAGGCCTCGCCACGTCACGCCGGTCGTGACCGTCGTTTGACCATACTTCACGCTTTGTAATGCGAGCTGGTGAAGTGGGGTGGCTGGGTTGGTCGAGGAGTGTGGGGGGGGGGGTAGGAATAAATTCTGATTTAGCTGATTATTTATTTCACCCATATTTTGGTTTTCACAAATCCACCCCCCCCCCCCCCGGTCTGCTTGGTGCTCTGCGCTTTTAAAATCCTTTATATTAAGTTAATTTGCGCGCTTACGACCGTGCAAATCTTTCGGTCGTTTTTTAACCCACTTCCCGTGATCCAATCGAGCTGACATTTTGCACACAGACTCGGTGTGCGTGACAATGTATTTTCGTGAAAAAAAAATTCCTAAATTTTACACCTTTTAGGAAAAAATGTTTTTATATTTAATTACCAATTGCTTAATGGTGGCAGACAATCATCTGACCCATAGGTGGCAGCCATCTCAAGCCAGAGGACGAGAGGACTCTAGCCGCCCGTTTCAAAGACCAATGTGGACTGGGTTGTGGCCCATTGAACACGCATATAAAGGATTTATAGTGAAAAACATTGTTTTTACGGGTTAATTTTTTCTCGGTTTGCTTCTGTGCCCCCCACCACCACCGCGCGGTGGGGGGGGGGGGGGGCCTTGGCCCGGTTTCCAGATAACTCTGGGTCTGGATTGCTCGTGATGAGGAATGTCCCTTCGAGTCACGGATGCCAAGGAGAGGAATGGGGGTCATCCATTCTCCTCGCCATGGCGAGGTTCTGGGGGAGGGTGAGGGTGGCACCTGTGGTCGAGTGTCAGCGTCTGACGTTCACGACATCCCCACCACCTACCCCACCCCCAGCACCCAGACACACGGAGAAGGATGCCAATGGGTGGGTGTTGTAGAATGGGGGATTGGAGGGTGCGGGGGTGACGGTGCGTGCTTGCTGCTGTGAGGGGGTGACTGAGAGAATGGGTGCTCTTTGGGAGCGAGTTGGGTGTTGGTGGATGTCATGGGTGGGTGTTGCGAGCGAATGTTGGGTAATGCGAGTGGGTGAGTGCTCGGGAGATGAGTGGTGAGTGCAAGGTAGTTAACATCTCGTGGTGGCGAGATGTTTACTTCCTCGCCTGGTATGCAGTAGGTCCTGGGTTCGATCCCGACCCTGACGCCTGCTGTATATTTGGAGTTTGCGTCTCTCTTTCCCCGTGGTCGTGTGGATTTTTCTCTGGGCTCGCCGGTTTTTTTCCTGCACATTTAGAAACATGCATTTAGAGTATTTGGCTGCTATACATTTCCAACGTGATGAGCCGCTTCGTTGAGCGATCATTTGTGACCAGGTTGCTTCTTTAAAAAAAAAACACTATATAGCTCAGTGGGCCTTACCTGGTATAAAACAAACGTTTAGTTTAGATGATGGGTACCCACTGGGTTCGTGCCACGGTGGGTGACCCAGGACTCCTCCTGCTGCCACCACATCCCTCCCCTCCACCTCCGTCCCTCCCCCTGCTGCCCTCCCTCCCTCGTCTCTCAGTGCCGTGGGTCCCCCAAGTGTCTCTTTTTTTACGATCAGTGGAAACAAGAAGATGCTCGGTGTATTCGGCACTTTGCTTCGTTCATCATCTCGTAATTTTTTTTAATTTAAATTTTTAACTTTGCTTTATGTAAACCCCCACCTCTCGCTCGCTCGCTCTCTCTCTCTCGCTCTCGTTCTGCCAATCGAGGGTCCTGCCAGCACCCACTGGAAGAGGCCTCCTGGCCTGTGCCGAGAGAGAGGCTCGAGTTTGTGTGGATATAGTTTGGGATTTAAACGGCGTGTTGTGGTTTATATGGTTTAGTATTTAATGGGTTTTTTTTATTTAGTATTTTATGGTTACGTGAATATAGCCATTATAGGATGGTTAGAGATTAGTGTTTTGAATATTCAGATGTTTAAGGTTTATATTTGTGATTTAAGGTGTGTAGGGGTTTCGTGGGTATTGGGCAGTTTAGCTTTAGGGGTTGTATTTTTAGGTTTTATGGTTTTTAGGGTATATAGGGTGGTAGGTTATAGGATATCGGTTTGTTTATTGGCGTCTATAAATATATAGGGTTTGGACTTTGTATATATAGCTTAGTGCTTATACTTCTATGGTTTAGGATTTTATATGGTTATTGTGTACAGGGAGAGGGTTATCGTTTGAGGTTAGTTTATAGGGGTTATTTCTATAAGAGCTATGGGATTAGGGTTGTGTATATTCGGGTTAGAGTGTCCAATATATGGCTAGGCTTATATGGTTGTTTATGGGATTATTGTTTTCATAAGGAGTGTGTTTACGGCTAGTTCTATGGCTATAGGGTTAGTGAGCATAGGGTTGACTACGTACGGTGCAAAATACAAATTTAACATACGTCGAGAACTAGGCCTATAGGGTATTGGTTCTATTGCACTAGGGTTTAGGGTTTTGTGTCTAGGACTAGGGCTGTAGGATATTGGTTCTATAGGACTAAGGCCATAGGGTATTGTGTCTATAGGGCTAGTGTTATAGGGTATTGTTTCTACCGAGCTCTGCGAGATCATGCGGAGTCGCGCTGCGCGTGAGTGAATGCGGTAACGCGCACTCACTGCAGCAGCGGCGGCGGCCGCGCTCACGCGCGCGCACGTTTCACTCCCAACACACACACACCATCATCCCATCGCACACTCACCATCACACACACACCATCACACACACTCACCATCCCATCACACACACCATCATCCCATCACACACGCACACACCATCCTCCCATCACACACACACCATCAACATACACCATCCCATCACACACACCATCATCCTCCCATCACACACACCATCACACACACACCATCCTTCCAACACACACACTCACCATCCCATCACACACACCATCATCCCATCACACACACTCACCATCCTCCCATCACACACACATCATCCTCCCATCACACACACTCACCATCCCAACACACACACTCACCATCCCATCACACACACCATCATCCCATCACACACACTCACCATCATCCCATCACACACACTCACCATCCTCCCATCACACACACACCATCATCCCATCACACACCATCATCCCATCACACACACCATCATCCTCCCATCACACACACACCATCATCCTCCCATCACACACACACCATCCTCCCATCACACACACCATCATCCCATCACACACACCATCAACACACACACTCACCATTCTCCCATCATCACGCAACATCCGCATCAACAACACCTCGTCTCGTGCCCGCCTGATGTGATGACGACGATGTCGAAGCGGAGGATGATGATGAGGAGGAGGAGCGACGTGAAGATTTGACATCGAGGGGCGGGGGGGGGTGGACGGGCGGGGTTGGAACGCGCGGTGCGGACCCTGAATTCCGAAGAGAGGAGGGAGCAGAGGGGCAGAGGCGAGCCCTGGGGGAGCAAGTGGTGGAAGCAGGTAGAGCAACGCGCTGGTGCTGGGAGACGGGGGCAGACTCTGGGGGGGTGGAGAGTCAAGAGGAGCCGGTGGCGGTCGTGAGCTGCCCAGAGGTTCCAGCCACGGGGCCGAGGAGAAGACTTCGAGGAGGAGAGCCTCGCACTCTGGAGGGAGGGAGAGCCTTGGGACGGCGCCGGTGGGAGGCTTGGGGAGCAGGTGGGAGCCGTGGCGCGCTGATGATGTGTGGGTAATGGCACGCGCGCCTGCGTGCGTGAGGAGTGTGCGTGGGGGGTGGATTTTGTCGGCGTGGGTGGAATGTGATTGTTTCAATGCAAGGCGAGCGGGGCATTGGTTCGGAGCAGACGAATTTCGAACAATTAACGCCGCTGTAATTGCAATAACGTCACAAGCAGCCGTGGGCTATCCACTGCTAGATGAAGTCCTCCTCTCGCCGCTGTCATCCCGGCTCACGGGTGGGTGGGTGTGTTGCGATGCCACGGGGCGTCTCGTGCCTGCACGCGCGCTGGTGGCCTCGAGTTCCATCTCCCAGTGGGACGTTCCTCCCGCACGCGCGCGCGCGCGTTCCACTCCTGTTGGCTGCCATTCCATCACAGGTCTCGTTCGCCATCGGCCGTCCTTCCGTCTCGCCGTGTCGCCTCCTGCCCGAGCCACGCATCACTTTTATTGACTGTCAATCGTGATGTCTCTGATTTGTGTTTGTACATTGATCTGTTTGTCGTGATTGGAATCGTACTTTTGCTTATAATATGTGGATATACTCGGCCCCGTCGCGAGAATGGGGAATTGCAGCCCGGTGTCTCAGGCCCACCAAATCGAGATGGTTGCTTGTTTGTTGCTGGATGCCCTGACACGGCTATCAGCAGTTACATTGCAAAGCCTTCACCGACCCGCGTTGACCAGTGTGGTGAAGTATGGTCAAGCAACCACCATGAGTGACGCAGCGTGGTGAGGCATTCATCCAAAGGAGATGTACATTTGTATCACTGTGTCAACTTTACTTGTTGATATCATCGAGGCGTTGAGCGATTCATTTAATTGGAGGAGGGAATCTGTGTGGTCGCTATGCGGGAGTGAGTTTTAGACCATGGGAGCAGACGGGGTAGGAGTGACCTCCCTATTTTCATTGTAAACTGTTTTATAGATATGGTCATGGTTTTCATCTAGCAGTGGAGATACCGTGGTTATGATGATGATGAAAGAGCTTGGAGCGGTGCATGTGTGGAACTAAACCGAGATACACGGCTAGAGAACATAGGCAAGTTACAGACATCGAAATTATTTCATCCAGCAGTGGATATACCAATTAATGATAATGATGATGATAGCATGGAGTGTTTGGAATTAAACTCAGAGACAGAGCTAGGAACGCGTACGCAGGTTAGAGACGGCATCACCACCATCACCATCATCACCATCATTACCATCATCACCATCATCATCACCATCATCATCACCATCATCATCATAACCATCATCAGCATCATCACCACCATCATCATCACCACCATCACTGGGGACTGTTGAGAAAAGCGAGTGGTGGGCATGCACAGTCACAAGGTGCGAGTTGCCCCCCCCCCCCCTCCCGATGGAGGAGACTGGTGACGGAACGGCGGCCAGGGGATGGGAAACGCGGCAAGAGATTTCGGCCACGGCGGAGACGGAGCGACGAGATGGGCTCGTGTGCGGGGCGCTTATGTGGACCGTGAGAGGTGATGGCGAACAGCGTGAAGGGGGGGGGAGGCCTTCGTCCAGCAGTGGGATATCTCGTGGCCCGTAAAAAATAAAAAAAATTACCATTAACAGTGCGTCACGTAGAAGTTAATCAAGAGATGTGCATTGGTGACATTGCTAGTCGCGTGCCGCAAGCCCGCCGTACAATGGCCTTCCGTCTCTTGTGAATGGCGCCATGGGCTCTCTGTTGCTCTCTCGCCGTCCGGTCGCAAATTAAAAAATCGTCGCCCATCGCCCGAGATTCTCACGTGGCCCCGCTGGCCACGCGAGGCACGCGCCGCGTGCGTCGTCAAGGCGCCGTCGTCATCCCGTCGCCACGGCGACCGTCGCCACGGTGACCGGTGCACGTGGCAACCGGCTTGCTCCGTTGTTAGGTAACGCGCCTGAGTGATGGAGCCGGCGTGTGAGTGAATGGCGGTGATGGTGGTGCTGTGTGAGCGGTGGTGCAGCGGTTAGGGCGCTGCGCTACGAACCCGGCGACCTGGGTTTGATGACCGCTCTCTCGGTCAAGAGCAGTGACGATTACCTGGACCGGTCCTGGGTCTGCCCTTTGTCGATTCAGCCTCAAATGAGTACCTGGTGCGGTGTGTAAACATCGCCACTGGGGAGACAAAGGCGGCCGGGCGTGGTGCTGGCCACCCACCCTCTCGTGTGCCGTGCCGGCCTTCATTGGTACTCTCTAACAGCACTTGCCCCAAGTCTGTCAAAGGCTATAGGGGGATCTTTGTCTTTGGTGTTGGCGAGGGTCTGGGTGATGGGGGTCACAATGTAGGTGAGCGGGGGAACAGTCGTGTAGTGGTTTGCGCACTGCTCTATGAACCCGGCTACCCAAGTTCAATTCCCGTTCACGACCACATTGGCGAATATCTGAAGAAGTCCAGGACCTCCCCTGTATCTGGTGCGCTGCATACAAAAAATATCGCTGGGGATACGAAGGCGGTCGGGCGTGGCATTGTCCACCGGACACCATTGCATGCTACTCGGTTAGCACGACTGGCTACGTACGGTGCGAAAGAAGTTCAACATAAATGCAGCAGCAGTCTGTCAGAGGCTATACGGGGGAGGGGTGGGCTTTACCTTTGGGTGAGCGTGCGTGAGTTCGCGAGTCGATTGCGTCTATGCGGGTGATGTCACTGGGGCACAATGCACGGGGATTTGGGAGGAATTATCGCCAGCGGCTGTGTGCTCTGTGTCCCTGGCGCGAGTTGATCCTCTGTGGCCGAGGCGAGTTGGTTTTGTTCTAAAAGCAAACAGCCGCAACCCGTGAGCTCACGTCCCGCTTCTCACGCGTGCAAAGCCCCTGCGGCGGTGGTGGCTGTGGTGGTGGTTAGTGGCGGTGGTGGTGGTTGGTGGTGGTGGTGGTGGTTGGTGGTGGTGGTTGGTGGTGGTGGCGGTGACGGTGGTGGTGGTTGGTGGTGGTGGCGGCGGCAGTGGTGGTGGCGGCGGTGGTGGTGGTAGTGGTTGGTGGTGGTTGGTGGTGGTGGTGGATGGTGGATGTGGTGGCGGTGACGGTGGTGGTGGTTGGTGATGGTAGCGGCGGCGGTGGCGGCGGCGGTGGTGGCGGTGGTGGTTGGTGGTGGTGGCATAGGTGGTGGTGGCGGTGGTGGTGGTGGTGGGTGGTGGTGGTGACGGTGGTGGTGGCTGCGTTGCTGCTGCTGCTGCAGCACGTGGCCGCCCGTAGCCCAGCGCTGTGGAGGCAAGCAGCGAGGGTTGGTGGATCACCGCACGAATGTTGCGAGAACTCTCTTCCCGTGGGGCGTCAGGAGGAGGAGGAGCCGTGTACCCTGGCTCGTCAGGAGAAGGCGATAGACACAGCAAGTGTGGACTCATCTCCATCTGTTCCACAATCCTGTACCGCCAGAAGGCAGTACAGCAAGTTCTGTTAGTACGTGGTAGACTGTTGCCTCCTGGCACACGTGGGTTTTCTCCGGATGCTCTGGGTTCCTTCCACGTGTTTCACACACACACTCATCAACTGGCTGAAACTATCTGGATATAAAAGATCAATGTAGCAAGACCCTCCTCACAACAGAGTCCTGAGTGATTATTTCCTGGGTAAACGAGCGCTGTAATGCTCTATGAATCTGGCTACCCAAGTTCAATTCCCGCTCTCGACCGCAGTGGCGAATATCCGAACCAGTCCTGGGCCTCACCTGTATCTGGTGCGGTGCATACACAAATCATCACTGCAGGGGTCTTGTGACAAACCGGGGGGGGGGGGTCAGTGGACCCCTGTTGACCCCTGACAGCCTCCCATCACCCACTCGCCGTGTCATCTCCCCTCTGATGTCTGCACTGGGCGGGAGTTCGGGGGAGGTGAGAGCATAGTTTGAGGGTGAGATGCTCCACGGGACCCGTGCCAACTTCTCCCGCGTTTATTCTGTGGAACGTGTGCTCCCGCCCACGTGTGTGTCTTGTGTGTGTCTGTGTGTGTGTGTCTGTGTGTCTGTGTCTGTGTCTCTGTGTGTGTCTCTGTGTGGCGAGCGGAGGTGCAGCGGTTAGCGCGCTGCGCTACGAACCCGGCATCCCGAGTTCGATTCCCGCTCAAGGCCAACACCAGTGACGATTATCTGAACTGGTCATGGGCCTCCCCTAGGTCGACTCAGCCTCAAATGAGTACCTAGTGCGATGTGTAAACATTGCCACTAGGGAGACAAAGGTGGCCGGGTGTGGTGCTGGCCATCCACCCCCTCGTGTGCCGTTCCAACCTTAATAGGTGCTCGCTCACAGCACTTGCTCCTAAAGTCTGTTAAGGCTATGCGGGTGATCTTTGTATTTGTGTGGGGAGCGGTGGCACAGTGGTTAGCACGCTCACGACCACGAACACCAGTGACGATTGTGTGAACTGGTGGAGGGCCTCCTGGAGAACGACTCGGCTTTAGATGAAAACCTGGATGTGGTGTGTGGTAGACATCGGCATTCGGAAGACAAAGGTGACCGCGCGTGATGCTGGCCACCGACCCCTTCGTGTGCCGTGTCGGCCTTCATAGGTGCTACTCGCGAGCAGCACTTGCACCAAAAGCCAAGGCTGTACGGGTGATCTTTGTCTTGTTGTGTCTGCGTGTGTGCAGGAGTCTGGGTGTCTGAATGAGTGCGCGTGTCTTACTCACGGTCAACACTGGTGATGAATATCTGAACCGTTCCCCCTGGGCCTCGTCGAGGTTGACTCAGCCTTAAACGAGTCCCATCTGCGGGGTGGAAACGAAGGCAGTGCTCGCGAGCAGTCTGTTGGAGGCTATACGGGGGATCTTTGTCTTTGCGGTGGTTAGCACGCTACGCCTAGGAACCTGACGATCCCAGTTCTATTCCCGCTCACGGCCAACATCGGCGGCGAATAAACGAATGAGCGGATACGTGAATGAATGAAGCTATGAGTTAACAAACAGGTTAATGAATGAATGGTTAATTCATCGAGTAATTGTCTCGTCCTAGAATTTTATGAAGGATAAATTACGACGAGGATTTTGCACGAATGAGATAATGAATATGCGGTGCAGGCAAATCATCGCTTGAATTAATGAGGGGCTTAATCAATAAATGAAAAGTTCAATGAGTTCACCAGAAATCTCGTGCTCCCATCTGCAGATATCCTGGGCCCACGATGGCTCCCCCCCTCTTCCTCCACCTCCTCCACCTCCTCCACCTCCTCTACCTCCTCGTCATCATCGTCCTCGTGGTGCCGGCCGCCTCCGTGGCGACCCCAACACTCGCCCCCTCGCTCGGGGTCCGACTCTCTGACCCGCGTGCCGACCCCCCCACACAGCCGCCGCTCCCCTCGGGGACCCTGGGGACCCCGACCTCCACCAAGGGGGTACCCGGACCGGACCCCGGCGAGGCAGGAGGTGGCCGCTTCAGAGCTCCTGCCGAGACCTCGACCCCCCCTCCCCTTACCTCCTACTCCCTCGCAGAGCTGAGCACGGTCACCGAGCAGCACCTCGGGGCCCCAGATCCCACATCAGGGGTCCCCGATCCTGTCTCAGGGCTACCTGTTCCAGGAACAGGGGTCCCAGACCCAGTATCGGTGATCCCTTTTCCAGTATCAGGGGTCCCAGATCCCACATCAGGGGTCCCCGATCATGTCTCAGGGCTACCTGTTTTAGGAACAGGGGTCCCAGACCCAGTATCGGTGATCCTTTTTCCAGTATCAGGGGTCCCAGACCCAGTATCGGTGATCCCTTTTCCAGTATCAGGGGTCCCAGATCTGACATCGGGGATCCCTTTTCTAGTACCAGGGGTCCCAAATCGCACACCGGGGGTCCCTGGTCCGACACCATCGGTCCCAGATTCCACATCAGGGGTCCCGCATTCTGTCTCGGGGATCCCTCATCCCATATCAGGGGTCCCTGGGGATGCGAGCGATGAGCCGAGTTGGACCCCCATGCTCATGACCTCGCCCTCGACCCCGCACCCACGAGAGGGTCCCCTTTCCGCATCACCTGGCACCCCCACAGCAAGGGCCCAGGGGGACGGGGGCCGTGGTGGTGGTGGTGGTGATGGTGGTGGCGGTGGTGGTGGTGGTGGTGGTGGAGGCGGCGCCACTGACGATGGCGGTGATGGATATGATGGAGGAGCTGTTGATGGTGGTGGTGGTGATGACGGAGCAGATGTTCAAACTGCTCGTGGAGTGGCTGATGTTGGACCAGGAGACGTGAACTCCACCCGTTCCCCTCCAACGCCGCCCACGTCCCCGCCGGTCGCTATGACCTCCGGAGACGTCGTAACTCGGCGAGAGCCCCCCTCCACCCGGGGTGTGGAGACCCCGGACCGGTCCCCAGTCCTGAACCCCTCCCTGCCACCGCCCGCACCCCCAAACCTAAGTCCTACGCCGCACTCTGACCCGGGCGTGAACCCGAACCCAGCCCACTCCCCGGCCACGTTGCCGTCTGCAATCCTGGAGCTGCGGCCGACTCCATCTCTCACCCCGGACCGCGGCGCAGACCCGCGACCCGCCACGTCGACCTCACCGGACCTGGATCTGGAACCGAACCCGGACGTTGCAAGAGGAGCGGCCACTGCGACCCCAGCGGGCGGTGCGGGTGAGTGACCCCCTGTGACCCCGGGGTCACGGAGGTCAGGAATCTCACAAGTGAATACGTGCCACTTCGCGGGCGCTATGCATCGGGGTCGGGGGGTGGGAGGGGAGATGGAAGCCGGTGAGGCCTGGCGGGATTTACCACTGCCGAGGGGGTTCGCGGTTGTGCTGCTTGCTGCTGCTGTTGCTTGCTGCTGCTACTGCTGCTGTTGCTGCTATTGCTGTTGCTTGCTGCTGCTGTTGGTTGTTGCTGTTGCTGCTGCTGCTGTTGGTTGTTGCTGTTGCTTGCTGCTGCTGCTGCTTGCTGTTGCTTGCTGCTGTTGTTGCTGCTGTTGCTTGCTGCTGTTGCTTGCTGCTGCTTGCTGCTGCTGTTGATTGCTGTTGCTGCTGTTGTTGCAGCTGCTTGCTGTTGCTTGCTGCTGCTTGCTGTTGCTTGCTGCTGCTTGCTGCTGGTGCTACTGCTTGCTGCTGCTTGCTGCTGCTGTTGCTGTTGCTTGCTGCTGTTGTTGCTGCTGCTGTTGCTTGCTGCTGCTGCTTGCTGCTCTTGCTGCTGCTGTTGCTTGCTGCTGCTACTTGCTACTGCGAGGCTCTTCCGCGCGATGTTCAAAGCAATGTTCCGACGTTTTGCTCCACATGCTGGGGATCTTCTTCTCCAAGTCCTCAATTTATTCCTGAAGAAGCTCCCGGCATGTGCAGCGAAACGTCGGACGTCGCGCCAACACAACACGCGGCGGGCGGTACACAATCCGGAAACACAAGGCCGAGTTTATTTGTTAAACTGCTTAAATGAAACGTGATTTGGTTAAATAAAAATGACGCTTACAAATAATTCACGTCATACAATTAGAGTTTTATCATCTTAAATTAATAGTCAATATTAATCGATGTCAAACTGGTGCTTTAGTGAATCAGAACTGAGTTTTAGTTCAGATCGCCGTGTGTCGTACAGCCCTTCTCCACCCGACACAGCCAATGAGTCGACTCGTGACGTGATGAACAAACGTGCCGATTCATCACTGCTTCAGCATAAACTCCTCCTCATTCGAGATGCAAACATCGCACCTCCTGGCGTCGACATTCCTCCTCGAAGACGCCGGTGGTGGTGGAACCATTCACCGCACCAGAACATCATCACCAGTCTGATGCTGCACCACATCCCCTTCACGAATGGATAAGACTGGTCAACAACAACAACAAAATTCTGGCCTGGACTTTTGCAGCTGTTTTAGACTAATTTCAGGGTGCTGATTCCAAATCTGATCTCAGATTTGCTCTATCACATCTCATTTTTATGCTATCGGCATACCCAATTTTCATTGATTTTACCCGAAATGAACTCTGTCACTTTTGATTGCAAGTTGTTGCGAGTCAGTGACTGCTTTAGTGTTAAAATATGGTGCTGTATTTTTAGGATAGCGTGTTTATAATATCATTTTATGTAGATATCCACATTTATTTAACATTTTTCTTCTGCAGTTTTTATTGAAAATGCAATATTTGATATCTCAAAAACCTGATGTGATAGACAAAAACTGATGCCAGATTTGGAGTCAATTACCTTAAAACCGTTGGAATACCTTATGCCAGAAAAAGTGTGTTGACCAGTGTAATTAGAGACACCGCCACAGTGGTGCGATCATGGCCATGCAACCCAAACTATGGACCACGTGCTCAACCGCTGTGTAGTCATTCTTTGGTTCTTTCGGTAAAGTCATGTATAAAGAAAAAATAAAAAAATAAATAATAGCATACGACGTTTCGATTGCAACACAAGCAATCATCATCAGGTATAATGAAATAGCGACATAAAATCTAACCAGAAAAAATTATAGACAGACATATAAGCAGACAGATATCACCAAGATACACAGAGCGGGCAACACAGGTACAGAGAGGGGTGATCGTCTCTGTGGGGTGGCCTTAAATAGACAGAGGGGGGCGGAGGCAGCGAGAGGGAGGGGTTATAGACAAAATTTACATGTCAATGAGTACGCTGTGTAGTCTGTGCTCCTTCGACTGAGGACGACGACGAACAGCAAAACGACACGAACTCTCTGTCCTGAAACCCTCTTGTGGTGGCCAGGAGACCTCGACATTGGTACAGTGATACCCTGGTATACATCGGGGAAAGCTGCGACGATGAATATCAAAACGACGTAAATCAAAAGATTTTACGTGAAAAGGTGGAGGCGACGGCTGAGAGGTGACGGATACGAGAAAGGATGGATGATGCTGCCACCGATGCAACTGTGCATTGAGATGACGAAAATCGGGTAGCGGTATTAATAAAGTGACAAGGTATTTGCGAAGCGACGTCAAAAGGTGAGACATAAATCAGGGTATTGCTGTATTACCCAACGCAAGAACAGAACAGAGACTGCTTCAGTGGATCAGAGCGTTGCATAGCAATCTATTGCCTGCGTCGGGTGGTGGAGGGTGTACAACACACACATCTTGCTCAATCAGTCTGACCCAAAACTTGATTACGAATCATCCCATTGGTGATGCAGCAGTCATAACTTGGCTGACCGCGGATATAGGGTTTGACATTTTTCAATTAATTCAGTCTTCCCTGCCGAAAAAGCCTTCCTAAAGGCTGCATACAAATAAAAATCATCGTTGTGGCTCCGCTCAAACAGGAGGTGCTCACCCAATCCCACGTGACCTCTCTCCTCCTCTGTGCTTCCAGAGCCGGGGGTCGTGACGGACGAGGCTGCCCGTCGCTTCGTCCCCGTGCCAGGACCCGCACCAGACCCTCCCCTCCCTCCCCGGAGACCGGGCACCGACCGAGAGCCGTTCTCCTCGGCGATGCCTCCGTCGCGGGCCCCGGGATGGGCCAGGGAGTGGGCACCGGTCCTCCTCTCCCTCGTTCCGGGCACGGGGCCTTGGCGTGAGCTGCGTGGAACGCTGGGCCCCACGTGGGACGCGGGCTCGCTTGTTCTCACCTGCGCCTTCGCCCTCCTCTCCGTCCTGGCGCTCTTCACCCTGGCCAGACTCCTGCTGATGACGCTGATAAAGACGAAGCCACCATCGCCACCCCCACCACCGCCGTCGCCGTCGCCGCCACTGCAGCCGCCGTCCGGGTCCGACCCCCTAAAAGACCCCCCGAGGGACCCTCAGAGGGATCCCCAGAGCCCCCTGCCCCCCCTGGGAGCGGCGCTGGTGTTGACGCTGTGCGCCCTGCGCTCCGTGTCGCTCTCCTGTGACCTCCTGACCCCCGAGAGGGCCCCCGCGCCCCTGACCTCCCTCCTCGTGTTCGACTCCGGGTTTCCGCTGCTCACCGCCGCTTTCTGCGTCGCGGCGCTGCTTCCGCTCCTCCTCCTGCGGCGGCGGCGGGGAAGGAAACTCCACGCTGCTGGGCCGGGTCCGTATCTCCTGGCCATCTGCTGCGCACACCTCGTCGTCTCCGTCGCTTGCGACGTCGCCTTCGTCTTGATGACGCGGGACCTCCTTGATGGTCATGACGTTGATGACAACGTTACCGATGGCGGCGGCGGCGACGACGTCGTCGCGCACGTGGAGCGCCGCCGCTCCGCCGCCGCTGTGCTCCTCCTCTCCCGCGGCCTCTTCGTGTCGAGCGCCGTCGCGCTCCCCGCCGCGGCCGCTCTGCTCTCCCGGCGTCCCCCCGGCGAGCACGACGGCTCCGCCCGTCCCGCTCCGCCCACTCGGGCCCCGCCCCGAAGGCCCCAATGCTCCGCCGAGGAGCCGGACGAGCAGGAGGAGGAGGCGGGAGGTTCGCCGCGGGAGCCCGGCACCGGAGGAGCCCCCGGCTCCTCGATCCTGCTCCGCACCTCCGCGTGCTCGCTGCTCGCCTGCGCTGCGCTCCAGGCGTGGCTCCTGGTGGACACCGGCGTCTTCCTCTCCCGCGGCGGCGGTGCCGCCACCGCCGCCGCGCTGGCCCGCGGCTGGGGCCTCCACGTGGCGACCCGCGCGTGCGAGCTGCTGTCTGCGGCCTGCGCCCTGGGCCTGTGCGCCACCGCGCCGGGCGGCGCCGTGGCTCCGTGCGACCGCCGCCGGCGCCGCCCGTGCTCGGCTTCGTGGCCCGAGCGGGCCCTGCTGGCGCGGGTCCGCCAGGTCGTGGCCGTCAGCTCAGGGGTCAAGGCCCGCAACGGGGCTGCGGGCGAGCAGGGCGCCACCACCTCCTCCGGCTCCTCCTCGTTCACGTGGGGGCCCAACAGCCTGGCCCTGAAGCCGGCGAGGAACGGATTCACCAAGAAGGGCGCCGCCTCAGGGGGTGCCGCGCAGCCGCCTCCCTCCCGTGGGGATTGGGACTGCTCGGGGTCCCGCAAGGGGTCCGCGGTGGTGGGGGCGGAGGGACCCGTGGGGGCCCCTGTGAGCGTGCACGAGGAGGGGCTGGAGGAGGGGCTGGAGTCGTTGTCGCTGTCGGACATCGAGCTGCGGCCCCCGTCACCCATCGACCTGCGCCGCAGCATCCACGAGGCGCTTGGGAGTCGCGGGGATGCGCTGTGCTGGGAGCGAGCGGCGGACGAGCCGGAACGAGGTGGACGAGGTGGACGAGGTGACAGTGGACCAGGTGGTGGCAGTCGTGTTGGTGGTGGTGGTGGAGGAGAAGGCCATGTGGGAGGAAGTGGGGTAGGTGAAAAAGGGAATGAAGAAGACGATGGTGATGTTGATGACGGAGGTGGTGCTGGAGATGGTGCAGAAGGTAGAGGAGGTGGTGAACGAGGTGGTCCAAGAGTAGGCGGAGAAGGTGGAGAACGAGGTGGGAATGAGGATGGTGATGCCAAGGACCCGGGATCGAACCCTGCCGCTCACTCCGGACCCTCCACCAACTTCACCTCTTCAGACGAGCGACTCCTCCAGACCACCTCGTCATCCCTCTCATCGTCATCATCATCATCGTCGTCACCTTCGTCGTCACTCTCTTCATTACCTGCACCATCATCATCCTCGTTTTCACTGTCGTCCTCGCGAGACCCCGGTTGGGGAGACGGGGGTCTCTCCCCGCGACCCCGTGGCCCGGGGTCACCGCCGCCAGGCTTCGAGAGGGTTGGTGAGGACCCGGGGACTCCGTGTGGAGAGAGAAGCAGAGGGGGCCCCGGGGATCGAGGGATCCCCAGGAGGGACGGCAGCCAGGGATCGGAGGAGCTGAGAGCTGAGTTTGTGCAGATCTGTCGACAGATTGAGCAGCTGAGCGATGGCAGCGATGTTATCCAACTGTGACTCCCGCATCATCACCATGATCATCGTCATCACCACCACCATAATCACCATCATCATCACCACTACCACCAGCAGCATCATCACCAACACCATAATGATCACCAACACCATAATCATCGCCACAATCATTCACTAACATCATCTGCTCATCATCTCTCCTCCTGACCATCCTTTTCTTCAATATCATCATTAGCATCAACACCACCAATATGTCATGATCTTCATCCTTCTCTCCTTCTGATTATCCTTCTCTTCAAAACGTCATCATCACGACTTATATTCATTTCAACATCGTCATCGACGTCTCGTGTCTGTAATCATCGCAGGGAGACGACGATCGTGAACAATATGGATGTTAGGGTTAGGGGAAGGGCTATGCTCCAGATCGTGAGCTGATTGGCTGACTGATGGTGAGGACCAGCCCTCCTGAATCATAAAACAAATGAGCAGACTATATTTCTGCCTAGCCGTCTCTCAATATTAAATATCATATAAAGTATTTTTTACACATCACAACTGCCCTTGGGCCTCCTGGGCGTGCATGATTTCAGCAGCATTGATTTAGTCCAAGCGAAACTCTGGGCCGGTCTCCACATGCAGTGTTTCATCGGCAGAGTTCGGCTTACTCGAACCAATGCCGGTGAACTGCTAGACGCTGTAAGCAAGAGCCCTCGATATAAGAAGATATGGATGGGTACTCGCCTAGCGGCATGCACTTTGTACTTTGGTCTTTACTTTTCCATCCAGCTACGCTGCGGGCATCATAGAGACGAACACATCATCTCCATTCCCAACGCTCGCAGACAGCAGTGGATCACCTTGTGTCAGAGAAAGACCCCCGGTAGATGACGTCAACATACCAAAAGTCCATTCAGTATGCCTTTTTTTAACGCCATTATAAGCACATGTTTTATATACTCTGCAAGTAGTGTTCACGACATATCACATGGCAATCACGCGGGACGTTGCCATGGTGTAATGAGTGGTCAGCACCACTGGACTTGCCATCCAGAGGTCGTCGATTCGATGCGATCTCCTGGCGTGGCAGTTGAAACAACGCTGCGAGTTTCTCAAATTGTCCCGCCTCTGTCAATCGGGAAAAATTGATTCACTCACCAACAGTCTATGATCATCATCTGGTTGCGTGTGGTGGAGTAAAGTGTGGGTACGACCACCTTTTTCAAGACGTGTGGTCAGCGTGGAAGATGTGACTATGCCCATGCAACCCAAACTATGGACCAAACACTGTGGTCTGTGCACCATCAATAAAGGAGAAACAGCAAAACTACAACTCTCTCCTAAAGCCCTCTCGTCATGGCCAGCAGACTTCCACATTGGCATCTCGCTGCTGAACATATTGCTGCCATACCCAAGAATAGAATAGCGTGGAAGAGTAGACCAAATACTATCCAGAGTTCCCCGTAGTGGAGGCCCTTCAGCAGCGGCGTGAGCCACCACTCACAGGGTTGAACCTTTACCTTTTTGTCATTTTTACATAGCAGTAACATCGTAAATGTTTACTTCTCAGAGCTGGAATTTTGCCAAATTATTTACTGGAAGTGCAGAACCAAATTGAATGTGATGTTTTTTTTTTTGTGCAGTCTTTGGTGACCGGGCTGAAACCATAAATTCACGGCGACACTCGAGGACCTGGTTTAATCACAACTCGGTCTCCGTCACTCGATAGGTCTCTACGTATTGTCAAAACGTCTCTGTGTAAGTCACTAGTGGCACGGCTGAGACCATCAACTCACTGCTACACTCGACCCCCCCCCCTCCCCCCCAGGTTAATCACTGTGGTTGGGTGGCTGAACCCTGACTCGAACCCAGGGTCTCAGCGATGCCGGCTCGGTGTCTCTGACACGTCCATCGTGACCCCCCCCCCCCCCCCCCCCCCCTGAGCCAGCCACAGTCGTTGAAGTGCAAATCGTTGGGGCACTCTGGTCAGCAGTGAACCGGATCGGGTTCAATTCCATGCTCCATCCCTGCTTAGGCTGTCCCTCCGAATCAAATAAGGGCAAATGCGCATTGTATATTAACATACGGTATGTGCAACTATCTGTATGTGTGCACACATCTGTGTCCTGTCGTGTGATACTATCCGACTGTAGTGGGGAGCGGTGGCGCAGTGACTGGCGCAATCGCGATACGATCCTTGCGACCTTCGTTCGATTCTCGGCCACGATGCAGAACATCAGTGGCACCTCCGTGGTGTCTGAACCTGGCGTAGGTCGACTCGGCCTAAAATGTGGGTGAACAAAAGCACTAGGGAGACAAAGGCGACCGGGCGTTATGTGGTGCTGGTCACACCACCCCCTTCATGTGCCATGCCCGCCTTAATAGGGGCTCGCTAACAGCACTTGCCCCAGTGGTCTAATAGGGCAATTATTGTGCGTCAGCCCATGTGTACGTCTTCGTGTGTGTCTGTCTTTGTGTGGCTATGTCTATGTGGTTGTAGATGTGTACTGCATCTGTGTTTATATGACTTTACCAACGTGTGACTCGCGTGTATGTCTGGGGGAGCGGTGGCGCAGTGGTTAGTGTACTGCGCTATGAACCCGGTGACCAAAGTTCGGTTCCGGCTCAAAGCGACAAACATCGGTGACGAATATTTTGAACCGGTCCTGGGCCCCCTCTAGGTCGACTCAGCCTTAGAATGAGTACCTGGTGCGGTGTGTAAACACCAGCACTGGGGAGACAAAGTTGGCCGGGCGTGGTGTTGATCACCCACCCCCATGTGTGCCATTCCGGCCTTTATAGGTGCTCGCTAACAGCACTTTCCCCAACAGTCTATTTAGGCTATACGGGGGGATCTTTGTCTCTGTATATACGTGTATATGTGTGACATATACAAGCAAAGTTCTATATGTGTGTGTATATATACATTGTCTAGGGCTTAGTAGTTTATACATCTGTAGGAACGTGTGCCAAAATGCCCTGCTTAGTTCGTGATGTCATGCGAATCCCTATCAATCACCACCAATCATGAATCCCATCCAATTCCAATGCCAGACAATGCTAATTCACGACCCCCTACACGCGTGCACCTCCAGCCACGCGGGGTCGACTCGAGCGAGTCGCTCTGCTCGGGCCGTGCTGTTCATCATTTCGCACGGGCGGTGATGTGGCGTTGACGCTGCTGTGGTGACGCTGTGATGTTTCGCACTGGTGGAAGTTTCTTAAATGTTCATTCCCCCCTCCTCCTCTCCCTTCTCCCACCACCACTCACACCACCTACCCAGCAGTAACACCGCAGCTAGTCGAACGGCAGATCATGGTGATGTGGTGGGGCAACGCGTGGGTGACTCCCACCTCCTCCCGAGACGTTTGGCCAGCGTGGGTAGAAGAGTCGGCCAACATATACCACCCGGAGAGGCCCTCTATCGCAGGATATTCTAAATTCCACTGCCTCGCCACCCACCACCATTCAAATGACATCGTTGCACGCTGCATGCGCCCGGTGACCGTTCAACACTCCCCACGCGTCTCGCTCAACAATTAAGGCGGAACACGTGCACGCACACACACAGACACTGTCAATTGCTTATGGCGTCACGTGGGATGTGTTTAGCAATCATCCGGCGCGTGGAAGGACTTAATGTGAGTGAATAAGTGAAGTCTGGAGTTTGGGAAATCCTACCCTAAGAGCTTCCTGTAGTGATGGCCTCTTCCACCAGCAGTGGATCAAGCAAGACATTGCAGGGTCAGAGCCTTTAACCTTCCGTGGAGGGATGATGTCATGTGAAATGCAGGGCATGCTGGGGAGAGACCGGCCATGTGGTCTGTCACAAGCAAATTAACGTGTTCGCGTGTTGCATTAGTGTTATTAGAACTGTGTTTAGAAGAACTGTCACGATTCGGGGTCACGATTGAATGGTTCAAGAATCGATTAATGTGTTGACTCTTTGTTACAACCCGTCTCGTTTGTATTATTTCTTTCTGTGTAGGTTTTCGCGAAATTAAGTAGAAATATATGTATAGTATTAGCATGTCATTTACATATACAGCAATGTCCGTTAATTGGATGTAATCGGGCATGATGCAGAAGACGATATTTGCTAGATATGCAAATGACATGGTGGTATGATGGCATTACACGTTTGTATTTAATTTGCACATTTAGCAATGCCCATTGCAGTAATTAGATGTAATCGGGAAAGCCGCGGCAGGCAGTAACTCCACGCTTGCTGGTTGATACCGAAACGTCGGCAAGTTCAAGATCCTGGTCTGGACTCGACTCAGCCAATCATCTCCGCAAGGCCGATACAATTTAGTATCATTCAGTGGGAAGGCGTACGTCGTACAACGAGCAATACGAATCGATTTTGATCGGTTCATCGATGCTCTGTGACGCGCCTAGGAGTTACCATAGAACTGTTGTCCAGTACTTCCCTCGGGAAGGGCAGGAGAATCATTGTCCAAGTCAATGCCAAACTCACATCTAAAACTTCGGGCTGTGCTTTCAGTGATACACCAATCACAATTAACACTACGACTCAAGACATCCGACAATAACACTGTGGCCTTAAACTAAAAAAATCTAACAAGCGATATTTATGTGCTAGGATGTACAGTTCTATATGGGCTATGAAGAAGGGCTGTTGCCCGAAACGTCGTCTATTATATATTTTTATTTTAAGACCACGGTTGTTGTTTACGAATGTGTTGAGCTGTTGTCCGTGTCTGTGCACCACCGCCAACGAAGCAGAAGCAGCAGCAGCAACATCGCGAAAGGATTTTTTTAGTTTGGGGAAAAAAACCCAACAGTTAACCGAACGCCGATGAATTTAAAAGCACAAATTGAATTATCGTCATCCCACCCCGCTAAAAATCGATTAGTGCGGCTAAGACGCTTGCAGCGATGGATAAATATCGTTCGAGGGCTGTTTTTGAAGTGGTCCACTACGGAGTGAAGTCGTGCTGTAGGAAACGGGAGTCGCGGGACGTGGTTTGCCCGCGGGCGATCGCTTCGACCACGTCCGTACCCGTGGGCGAGACCC